GGCAAGTCATCAAAGGCGTCGAGCTCATGACCATCGCCAAAGTGTTTCTTGTTCTTTGGCTTGCTCAGGCGCTCCCAGGTATCGGCAGCAACCTTGTATCGGTGCGGACTGGGCGATCGGCCCCCGGACCGGGAAAAGGCCCTCGAGATGGGTCGTAGATCGATTGCATTCTCCGAGTCGTGGCGTCGGAACTGGCGCAGCGTCTTTGAAGCGACGTGCTGCGACTGAGACTGCGATGCACCGGCCGGCAAGAAGGGTTGAGGTTTCCGCGTCAACGAGGCAGGGCTTTCGGCGACGAGACCCGGGCGCTGCCGCTCCACGGGTGTCTTGGGTCTCAATCCAATTTGTGGCCGACCCGTCTCGGCCCTTGACGGCGGTCTGTCCGTTGTCGATCTCTGCAACACGGGTTTTGGTGCGGTGGTTGTCGAACCCCGGACCGCCGGCAGAGATCGCTTCTGTTTCAGCAGTTGAGAACTGGTGGTCGGTGCGTCACCCCTGAGAGACGAGAATGATGATCTTGAGCCAACTTCTCGCCCTCGCGGTGTGGAGAGAGGAAATTGTCGTCCGGGAGAGGTTGTCGTCGGGGTGGGAAGACTGACAACAGACGACTGGTGTGAGTGTCCAAGACGAGACTGGGAACGGCGACTGCTTCGCGAGGGAGCTGCCGAACTGCCAGATTCATAAACCGGCTCCAACGACGTCGAATGGGCCCGTTCATGGCTCAAGCGAGGGATTCTGGTCTGCGTTGTTGTTGTTGTTGTTGTTGTTGTTGTTGCTGTTGGCTTGTTTGTAAACGTCAGTGACACGGCAGTCTTGGGCCGTGCGGGGGACGCAGGCTGCGTCTCCTTGACCTTGATGTTGCGGTGCAGGGTCAGTTTGCCGGGACCAAACACATTTCCATCACCAATTTCGAGATCCTCAAAGAAATCCTCGCGGTCAGCCTCGGCCTGGGTCGTCGGCGGCTTCTTGGAGGCTGGCGGAAGTGGCGACGGCTGCTCCTCCGGGATACGCTCTGGCGAGAAACTCTTCTTGCGCTTTTGGAGACGCTCCCTGAAATTAAACGGCCCGGCAGGCAGGACAAGACCTTCAAACGTCTCGTCCTCGCTCTCGGCAGTGATGGAGCTCGAGATGCTGGGGCTGAGTGCCGAGGCCGACGAGCTCCTGTTTGAACGGCCGTCGCGCCTAGTACCGCCGTACCGAGTGCCGAGACTGCCCTCGCCCCAGTCCAGGTCGTCGACATTGGACGACGGCGTCTTTGGAATGTCTCTCCTAGTAGACAGTTTCAACTTGCCGTCAGAGGGCAGCTCCAAGTCCTTTTCAAAGTCGTCCTCGGTTTCTTTGGTTGTCTCTGATTTTTGCGGCGTAGGAGGTGTAATGAAGGAGACGGGCTGCGGAGCAATTCGGCCCTTGGCGACTTTGATGGTAGCAATGCCGTCCCCCAAGAAGTCGTCATCCTCTTCCGTGTCTTTGAACTTGTCCAGGTTGAGAGCGGATGAGAGCGCGCTCGTGTTTGACTGCGCCGAGAGCCTGCGCTGTGGCTCCGGGAATGATGGCCGCTTCATGGTTCGGATGGGACTGGTCTGCACCGAGCCCGCGCTCACTTGGCGCAGTGTTTCGGGAAACTCGACATCAGGCTTTGGTTTTATGCTGAAGCCCTGCGAGGCTTCCGGGAGCTCGAGGTCGTTTTCCCAGTCATCCTGGATAATCCTGCGGATTTTGCGGCCCCCAAGTCGCTTAATGGTACCGCCCATGAGGGCAGACGAGGGGACGTTTTTGGGCAGAGGAATGCCAGCGTGCTCTGCGGCAGCAATGGCGTCCATGGTGGAGGATTCGTCATCGGCAGGCAAATGCAATTGCTTTTCCTCGCCGTGCCAGGATTCTAATTCAGACCGGAAAGAGACGTGAGAAGACGTAGAGTCCCGCCGCCTAGACGGAGGCCGTGACAGGGCGCGGGAGTTGGTGGGACCAGCCGCGGTCGTCAAGGAGGTGCGAAATGACAGCTCATCACCCTCAAGTACCAAGTCGTCATCGTCATCCCAGTTCTCAATCTCATCCTCCACGGGCTGCCGCGGTTTTAATCGTAATGTCTCCATGCCCGGCGGCGATGCGGGCTGGGACGTGCTGTTGTCTTGAAGATTTGTGTTTGTTGCCAAACAGCACCAGCCAGCAGCAGCTCAGCTGTTGGTGTTTCGGTGCGTGTTTCGTGATGTGCGACGTCGCCCACAGCTTGGGTGTCAATTAGGCGAACTCATAGTCGTCCACAGCACTAGGGTTTTGTCGCGTTGTGGCTGTCTCGTCGATTGCAAGCAATCGGTGCGAGAAGCACAGACGGGGGGTGGGAGAGCTGACGCCTTGCAGGGCTTGTCGCTGTCTGGTTTTTCCTTTCCTTTCCTTTCCTTGGTCGTCGCAATGGTCGCGGCTGGCAGTTGTCGTGCAAAGTGGTGCGGAGGGAGAGTGGAGAAGGTTGTACGGTCGCAGGTCACGCTTTGTCGTCAAAGTGCAGTTTGCCGGGCTGTCGAAAGTATGAGAGTCTGGTGGCGAACGGGGACCAGTTGGGATGATCCGGAGTCGTCAATGGGCGCTGGTCGGGGCAGCAGCTGCCGACGGGAGCTGTGCAAAAGAGTCTTGGTGTTGAGGTTTTGTATGGTGTGTGCGGGCAGAGTTGAGAAGCGATGGCAGGATTGGCCATGCGTCAGCCAGAGGGGGATGAAGGGACAGGAATGCGAGAGCCCGGCAAGAAAAGGCTGGGGCGGAGAAGGAGCGACCGGTGCGTGAGGAGCAAGTGCGTGTAGCAAGTACCAGCACTGGTCAGCGGGCACAGCGAGCGCCACGCTGCTGAGAGCGCAAAGTGCGCAGCGGTGGCTGGAACCAAGAAGCCAAGTCGAGGGAAAATTGGTGCCAGCACAGTCTGCAGAGTCTGCAGTGCCCCTTGACGTGGAGGCCTGGCGTATGCTGGCGTCCTGCTGGAGGTTGGGAACAAGCAGCCGTCGAAGCGGAGTCGACCCTTGACACTTGTCCCAACGTGGATTAGCGCCGTCGCTGCTTCAGCACAAACCCCGTTGACTCCTGTTTGAAGTGTCTGGTGCAATAAACCCGAGACACGCAATGGAAACAACTGCAATTAGGGGTCTAATGGTGTGCGTATGGATTAGTATTAGGCTTTATATTCTGCCCTCGACCCCGGACAGGAGAAATGAAGTCGAGCTTTGTGGCCCGCGGCGAAATTGCGGAGACCAAAACGTGCCCAATCAGTCGAGAAATTGTTTCGTGTGGCACGAGTAGTATGTATTATTCAGGTTTTCTTACTCCGTACAACGGCCCGGCAATGGGCATGACCTGCTTCAAGACGAGGGAAGAGGCCTGCGATGGCTAACGGACCCTGATCCGCGTAGCTCGGCTCAAACTTCACATGCAGGGCCCGGGATCGTGAAGGAGTCCAAGACGGCCATGTTGGTTCTCTCCGGAGCCGGCCAGGGTTCCCCAGATTACAAGCACACAAGTTTGGTGGTACGTACATGCGTTTGTAATTTAAACAATCCCAGGTGGCTTGCCGCAAGATATTCCTCAACGGGCGAGGCAATGTACATGCGCCTTTTCATGTGCCAAACTCGCCGCCGCGGCGCTCGCACTTGACATCAAGAGACGCTACCAAAACTGTTGAGCAATGTGTCCAGAGAGGCCAACTGTGCCAAGAAGATGCCTGATATTGTCTGTGTGCCTCCGGGGGAGCCACGTCCCCAAACAGCCACGATTCCTGCATAAAGTCGTCCAGCATGATGCCGCCGAATCATGTTTGCCGTGCCTCTTGGCTTTCAATGCACACCGTGGCCCTCGTCCTCTTGAAACATAGATGATGAGAGTAGTACCATTCGTCGAGAATCGACTGCCGAAGGGGCCCATCGGCCGCCATGCACATCATTCATGCAGTTTGCATGTTTGTGCGGTCCCTCCCGAAGACGGACACGCAATGCGTAAAAGCGGCGCCGCGTGATTCCGCAAACACCGGCCGCTGATTGGATCGTGGTGTCGCGCGAGTCCGAAACGCGTCAGGCTCGTGATTTGCAAGACGCAAACACAAACAAGAAAAATATCACGGCCCCAAGAGACATTCTCCTGGACCAACATGACGTATTGCATCTCTACGCCCATGATTTTGCGACTATGCGGCTGTCGGGCCACATAGCTGGTCAAAATGCACATGGCTGGTGGTCGCAGCCTCGGCGACCGATTTTCGTCATTCCATATTTTTTCTTGGAGCGGGACAACAAACCAGGCCGATAAATGGGTCTGCTGGCATCCCATGTCCAATGAAAGCGGATTTGTGCCTCGTCGGGCGACTCTCATCGTGACCATGACGGACCAAGGCTGGCGCTGTCTGGCGCCCTGGCTAGTTGCCGTGTAGCATACAACGTGGAATTGGTACTGTGGACCCTCGATTTTATTCGCAATGGCCACTCTGTCATCTAGTTTTCATTCACAGCCGTCCGATAGCCATCTCGGGCGGTCCCAAGTCGAACCCGCTCCGATCTAGGGTAGCCTTTCGTTTTCCAAACCCGTACCATCGACCGAGCATGTTCACGCGGCAAGACAAGCATGAGCCAAATTGGCGTGGGTTGAATGCAGTGAGCGGAATCATGTTCCATGGCATCTCTGTGCAGCAGATGACCCGGATGCCGACTCAATGAGCCCGGGTGCCGCTACCGGCGTCGGTTTCCCACCGCGATCCACTTGCCTGTTTAGGAAGCAATTGAACGCTCTGCTCCGGTGGCTTGCAGATACGGGCGCTAAAATGAAAATGCGTTGCCTTACCATCATTGACATGCTGCTCAATATGGAAGTGTTTAAACGCGATGGGCAGATTATAGAGATGAACACGCAAGCACATGCGTTGTCATGATGAATTTCGTAGTCGGAGCATGTATATAAGCCACAAACATGGCATCGAGTACATCTGCTCACCATTTCATTTCCTCTACATCTTGCGAGTCAACACCATCACCATGTATATTTCCAACATTGCGCTCCTTGCCTCCGCCACAGCCGTGGCGGCTAACTGCCCGTCTTTCCCCTCCTCGCTCGTGGAATACTCTTCCGAATTCAAGCAGCCCACGCCACCGGCGGTCAAGCCAGAGTTCCAGACACACTTTGTACAGCACAAATGGTAGTTTCCCGTCTCAAATTCCATGTAAAAAAAAGGCACATGGCTAGCTCTAACGTTTTGACCAGGAACCAGAACCTCTCCCACATCCAGACCGGCTACATGTACAACTCCCCCGCCAAGAACCTCGTCCGCGTCGACGAAACCTTTGAAGACGGCCTCGCCACGTCCGTGTTCAACTTTGCCAACGTCACCGAGGACGCACGTGTCGACAACACGCTCACCTCGGTGTTTAAAGATTTCGCCCACCCCCAAGTATGGAGGGGCTACGTGAACACCAATTATCCCCTCATCGGTGCCGATTTTCTCGCCAAGGCCGGCGCCGTGTTTTCAGGATTGGTTGAGCGGGATTTTATTCCGGGGAGGGTTGCTTCAGTATGTTTCCGCTCCCATTCATCCTTTTATGCTGCGACTGATGGATTTCCTGTTGGTAGTGGAGCATTATGTACCAAGGCGCTATTCCGGTCACGGTGTACGTGGATGGGTGTAATGTTGTGCAGGGCTATGATTACTTTGCTCCCATTGAGAGAACTAGGGTGACCACTTCGTTTTTCAACACGCGCGTCGGAAAGGTGGACATTTGAGGGCTGCGAGGGGGCTGCGGCGACTTTGGGTGTACACTTTGGTGTTGTTGTCGCGGAACAGACTTTATATGGGCGATTGTGTAGGGACTATTTGGACTTTTTATAAGAAATGAGACAATAAATAAGTAGAAAATAGTTTCTTGAGAAGCCAGCTATCGCACTCTCGTTTCTGCCGCATCTCAGATCCGCCGAATACGCAGAGCAATGGACCGTTGGGTGTTGGGTGTTGGTGGTTGTCGTGTGCAGTTGCTTGCACGTGACTTCCCCAGAGTCACAAAGAAGTTCTGCACCGACTTCTTTTCTGGTCCTTGACAACATCTCCGCTCACGACGACACGCGAGTCCCCAATCTAATCATGTCAAGCACCATCACACTGCCCCGTATTACTTGGCGGTATACCAAGGATATCTAGACAGTATGCACACTGTTTGCAGGAGCTGTCTACAGCTGATGCGAAGATGAGTTCTTGCTGGGCTGCTGACGGTTTCGCGCAGGATGGAGAAAAACTTTGGCAGCAATGACTACACGCCGTGTCCCGAAGACTATCCTGATTTCCGTCTACCGCGCTAAGTGTCATGCAGCATCCAGCTCACTATTGTTCAATCACGGGGAGAAAATTCGGAGCCCCTCAAGTTCGGTGACTCACTACTCCTTCAGGCTGTATGAGTTTATTGTCCTGGATCGGGTCCTCGAATATCGCAATGCCCTCAAAGCTTTCTGGAGACAACGCGGATGTGGCTGAAAATATCACATACCCATGTGACGACGACGGGGAGCGATATGCATTCATCGCAGGATGTACGCACCTCCTCGGCCATCCTTTTCCAAAGAGTCAAGCCAGGCCTCAAGCGAGATAATCCGTTCCTGATCACTCCAGAGGTAGAAGAGAGTGCCAGGAACGTCCGGCCCATCTTTGCCGAAAAAGATCCCAGAATGGGCAGGCAACGTGGCACCGCTGAAAGACACTTTGTGCTCCCAACTCATGAGAATAAAGATGGCCCCAGAACCGACCCGGACTTCTTGGCCAGGGACATTTTGCTGCGGACACCATATCCTTTTTACATGGGTCACTGCAGCACATGCTGCTCTCCTCACTCTTGCAAGCAGCAACCAAAACTTGCACTTTAGCCTATTCAAGTCTTTTCTCAGTCTAGGATAGACCAATAAGCAGAACAGTCCTCTTGCCACAGCCGCTCCTTGACTCCTGTATTCAGACAAAGGCCTTGGTTCCGCATCGTTTCCGGTGCTTCGTTCGCCCAGATGGAGCACATTTGCCGCACTTCCTGTACGTATCTGCAAGATTCGGCCATTACTGATAAAGCTGGCAACGACCAAGCATGAGAGCCTGACGATATTTGGCAGTCCGTGGCGACGGTACGGAATCCCTGCTTTCAATATCGCCCGAATCACTCCCAGGGAGGACATTTTTGCCTCTCTCCATCAAAAACGCCGCACATGATCATCACATACGGTCCACCGCGCCTCCAACTTGACAGGTGTGATTTTGATCGGCCTTTTTCCTCACCCCCCATCTTCGGCTATATTCGCGCTTCATATGGATGGAAGACCGGATTCCAAATTTGCCAATGCTGCACTAGTGGAGCGCCCGCAGAATGAGCTGCGAAATGCCCCAATTGTCGTCGACGTATAAGCGGGTTGCACAGGATACAGGGGCTGAAGTGTTGTCCTTCCTTGGGCCAAGGTCTGCGCCTAATTTCGTATTATTTGTATGACATGCTGGCTGATAAAAGTCATAGGCTACAGATCAATAAGGTTGTGGACCGCGGCCCTTTATTTCTCGGTCGAGACTTGCTTTTCTCGACACCAAGCTTCAAATCCAGCCTGCGGGAGTATGGCGATAAATGGAGCTTCCAAGCTCGAGATTGCATCCCGCACTCTGACTGGTATTGATGAGCACAACAACACATGCGCCTGCCTTTCAACTCTCACTCAACACCCCGGCAGGCCACTGAATGCCCAAAGGTCATGCAAGTCTACCTTGACCCTGTCTGCCACGACGTATCCCTTCCAGTATATCGTGTTGAGCTGCGCCACGACTCCCATCCTCGCTTCTGTCTCAGTGAGCAGGGAACCGACGACTCGCAAGGGGAACAGCAACATGACGCCGGGCACATTGGACGACTGCAGCAACTGGTCAATCAGAGCGACAATGCTTCTCGCGTGGTCAGAAATTGCCGAATGGCTCAGCAGAGGAGTGGCCTTGCCCGCCCAGCAGGGGTAGTACGTGTAATTCCGCGACAAGAAAAGCAGAAGTGTGTGGTAGTAAATCAGGGCTAGTCGGCACTCATGCCCTGTACTCTTGGAATGGAGAGTCGAGCCGTGCTGCAGGTACCACGTATTGAGCAGGCCTTGGACATGGATACCTTGTCGACCCAGCTCTCCGATACTTGGATGAGTGCAACGCTCCGGCTCTGGAATCTCCTGGATCCGTGCAAAGAAGCTGCAAAAGTCAACTATGGAACTGCATCTGATCTGTCATGGTCTCTAGTCCGTACGTACCTCTGACTGAAGGATGCGGTGTAGAGCATGAGAGTAACCATGCCATCCATCGGGAGCCCAGCACTCTGGCCAGCACGCAAAAACAGAGTCTTTCTGACAACAGTCCACCTGTTCTCGGACAGAAAAGTTTCCACCCCGTACATGATTGCCCTGTTGGCCTCTAGGACCTGGAACGCGTCGAAGAGCATCTGCTTTAGAGGAGAGGGGCCGCGGCTCATATTCGACAGCTGCAGCATTCTTCCTGTGCCGTAGAGCATGTGTCTCGTCCATCGGTCACCGCTTGGTTCAGCCATGAGCTATGTAACCAAATTAGCAGACTTTTCTTGTTGTCATGGAGTCAGAATGTACCTCAAACAGCCCCAGGAGAAAGGTCGTCCAAAGCACATCATCTCGCTGTGACGCATCGCTCGAACCGAGCTCATCTTGCAAGCTGGCCAAGGCGCGCTGGTATCTTGTAAATGCCACGATGCGCGGCGATGGATAGTCGGGACTTGTGCCGACGTGCGCTCGTCGATGCGCATCCAGGGCACCTAGTGCAACTGCCACATGTGAAAGGTGACCATGTCCACGCATCACGGGCAGCAGCGCCGTTGCCGCCAGCGGAAAACGAGCCGTGAAATGACAATTACGAACGACAGCGACAAAATGGCCCAGATACGTGCCCTCTCTGTCGTTTACAGCGGCTGGGAGCGCCAGCTTTGGTGTTGTGCGCCTGGTTGACTCGTAGGCGACAAACTGGAACGAGTCACTCGACGTCGCGGGCATTTGTGGCTCACACGTCTTGCCCGTCCGAGTACAATGATGACACGGGGAACCGCCTTGGCACTGTGGCCGGCATTCGTCAGTGGCAATGGAAGCTGGAGGAATGAGTCAAGACATGATTTCGGCAGCGGCGGCAACTCACCTTGATCCTCCGCTTGGCGCATGGCCGGCATCTCGTGAGCGCCTTTCTCTTGTCCAAGTGCCCGATGGCTTGCTTTGACGGCGCCATCTTGGTACCCGAGCTCAAGCGCCTACATGCTCAGAAAGCTGCCGAGAAACGTGGAATTTGGCAAGCTGCTGTTTGTGGTTGTCAATGAGATGGGACTTGGATGTATGTACGCGGCCACCCAGGGCTGAGCAACAAGCCATGCCGAATCGGGCAGTAATGAAGCGTGGTTCCACAGACGGCGTCTACTACGGAGCGCGGCTGACGGCCCGAAGAAGCGGCTTGACCTGATAGGAATTCCGGTGTTCTGCCTTGCATGAGTTGTTAAACGGAGGACAAGCGCGTCGGGGATTCGACAAGGCTGTTTGCTGTCCGCTCGCCGCAGGCGGAAGCCCGCTGCAGGCGGCCCCCGGCAGGGTCCCCGACGGGCCCCCGGACTCCCGGAGGGGAAATAAAAAAAGGAATTCCATAGCTAATGTTCTAGCAGCCTCAGCCAGCCGGCTACAAAGCTTCGAATTCAGCAGTAGCCCAAGGTTCTGGATTGAATAGGCTTGAACCAGGCTGCCGCAGTAGCCCGCGGCAAGCGACTCGGTGGGCAGCTCTGCTTACACCGATGGCAGGGCTCACGGTGCCATCGGACCTAGTAACCATGTTGCTGAAGAAGAGAGCATGTCTGATCACCACACAGGCCGCATCATCCGTCTCGCCGTTTGAGCCGCGCCAAGGCATTACCAAGGGTGGCAAATCCATCAAGTTCAAAGTCAATATGGACAAGGGCAGGCAGGGAAAGACTGGCTGCAACGGTGTGGTTTTCGCTGAGACAGTCACGTTTATTGACAAGGGCAACATGCCCAACATTGCCGACGCGGGGATCACAGAGAACCATGCTGGCTGGCGACGCTTGTCGACGATCCTGGCTTTGCTCTCAACTTGAACGGCCCTAGTTCCCGCGCCGGGGACTGCTCCCATGAGATGGCCGGCTTGGGACATGGCTCTCTTCCTGTCGCGAAAACGGTTACATTGGGCCTGCTCGGGCGCGGCTTAGCTGATGGCATCATGGCAGTCTGTCTCGGGTTGCGAAAGCGGCTGCTTCGACTATTTCGCCGCGGCTGACGCCCTGGTTACAGAAATGGCAGTGCATTTCTCTGAAAAAGGGTGGGCAGCTAAGAGACCGACTTGGTCTTTCATCTTCCTTCAGAGAAATACATTCTGCTATTTCTGTAGAAACAATATCTTTTTAGTGTTGTACTGGTACCTTTTATTTTCCCCCTCTTTATTCAACATGTGTATTCTGATTATTAAAACAAGGAAAAACATTCAACACAATCTGGTCAAATCGGTCACGCAACACGATTACCACCTGCCGCGATCACAATATCACAACTGTGGTTTGGGTTGGCAAAAGTTCAACCCATCAAGATGGTGGCTTGCTCGGTTTGAATTTTTTCAGCCCAGTTCGTCATGGACGGGCATGTATCGCACCGAGTATAGTCGACCCCGTCAGAGACAAACCTGCCAACCATTTTGAAGCCATCCTGTTGACAGGCCCCCAGAACGGGCATATATGTCTCAATCACAATGACAGCACCCCAAAGAGCAGACGAATGAGGGGTGCCTTTTGGGCATGATCATTCGGGCCAATAGTTGAGAATACCACGCTGCAAGTGACAAGTTTGCTGCGGATTACGAGGACCTCAACTCTGGTCATACAGCACTCTGTATATCCCATTTTTGCTACTTGACCGTGAGACACGTCTGTTCCGGCATTTAACAGCTCTGCCAGAAACAGTGCCGATGTGCTCACAAGAAGTAGTCAGCGTCGCAATATCGATTGCGCCATGCATATTTATCAACGCAGACTGACCATGATTCGCCACGGCCCGTGAACGGCGACACAAAACACCGTTGTGGCTTTCTGGGCCGCAAAGAGATTACCTGCGAGTTGCCGTATTTGGTAACACATGCGCCCAGTGTGCATTCATGGTCAAATAAAGTTTTTTCGGACAGCTGCAAGTTTACATAATGTCAGACCCTGCGTGTAGTACGGGGAAAGGGGCCAATGTTTGCCAACGAATAGGCTTTGGGTGCGGACGGGGTGGTATCCAACAGCTCTGCAGGTGCTTTCGTGACGAACAAGTCCTACTGGCCACGGCTGCATGGGCCGTGTCTTGGGTTGTCAACAAGATGATGGGGTGGTATCGATGCATGCATGACGGCAAGATGTCATGTTTCTCGCCGCTCTTGGTTCGTCAAAGATGCACGCACAAACGACTTTTCCAATCCAACGTGATGGAAGGCGGGGTAGAGAATAATGTTCTGGACTCAATTCTCGCCCTGGTTCATTCGAAAGCCTGTCGTGGCGTGTGCTTCTCAATTGTCTATAAATACACAGTGGTGAGCCCGTCCTGACTTTTCTTTCCTCATGGGTATCAATCAACAGAAATTGACTCGCTGATCAACCAGATCAACATGTTGAAACATTCGCTCCTGTATTGTCTGTCTCTTTTCGCCACTACACAAGTGTGCAATGCGCGGGCTGTCGAGAAAGAAATCCGTGCGCCGGCGGCCCAGTCTTGGAGAGGATTGGGCGGTCTCTTTTCAGGTACGCAGATGGAACGGACACGACTGTTGTCGTTTTCACAAATGACATTTTTAAGCTGACTTGTGGCAGGCCACCCCGGTGTTGTGTCTTGGTCGGCCAACCGGACGGATGTCTTTGTCCGGGGAACCAACAACGCCGTTTACCACAAGTGGCAAAATGGAGATTCTGGCTCGCCATGGGGCCCGAGCCAGACAGACTATGAGAACCTCGGCGGTGTCATCTACGGCGACGTTACTGCCGTCTCCTGGGGCCCCAATCGCCTCGACCTCTTTGTCCTGGGCACCGACAACGCCGTGTACCACAAGTGGTGGGACGGCAGCTCCTGGGGCGGATGGGAGTCCCTCGGCGGCACCATCATTGGCGAGATCAGTGCAGTCTCCTGGGGCGCCAACAGACTGGACCTCTTCGTCCGCGGCACGAACAACGCAGTCTACCACAAGGCCTGGAACGGCGGCTCCTGGAGCTCTTGGGTGAGCCTCGGCGGCGTCATCGTCGGCAACCCCCAAGCGGTATCCTGGGGACCTAACCGTATTGATGTATTCGTACGAGGCACCGATAATGGCGTCTACCAGAACGCCTGGAGCGGGTCATCCTGGTCAGGCTGGTATAACCACGGCGGCGTAATTGTTGATGATGTCACGCCGGTGTCGTCCGCGTCAAACAGACTTGACCTCTTTGTTCGAGGCACGAATAATGCCCTCTACCAGAAGTCGTGGAGCGGTAGCGCGTGGACCGCGTGGATTTCCCTCGGGGGGACCATTGTGTCTCGGCCATCCGCAGCGGCATGGGATGGCAGGTACGTGGCGGTAGTGGCTCAAGGTACTGACAATGCGGTGTACCTCAAGGAGTACAACGGCAACTCGTGGGCTGACTGGCGATCTCTTGGCGGTGTGGTGACGGATGCGCCTGTGATCAACCCGAGAGGTGGTTTTGGGGCCGCAGTCTTTGCAAGGGGAACAAACGCTGCATTGTATGCGTATGAGTAGGCGGTTACAGCGGACGCCTTGGATTCGTTGCTGCTGTTGATTTTGTATGATGCAAACAACGCCGTGTCATGCCAGGCAGTCAGCGATAAACATGGCAAACCAAAGGGTAAAAATGCAGTCTAAAAAACTTGTAGTCCTGATTCGTAATCCATCCATACGCTAAGAAATTCAAGCATCAACTATATAATTTAGAAATGCCGGTGACCACACAGACGGATGCGGGTTCGATTTCCATGACTTGTGCTGTTGGGTCCCACAGTCACGTGTAGGCACCATATCACTTTTGCTGCGCCGGCACCTTCCAACTCTCTTCCTTTTTTATCATGATTAAGATTTCCTCTCTTTCTAGCTCTCTTGCCATACAGCTTGTCAGTTGTACCACAGGATCCGTGACGCGTCTGATACTCATCTTTATCAAGGCACGCCAAGGCCAGAACCGACGTCTTTCGTTCCCGTGCTCTATCGTGCAGTCATCCTCAACGTACACGGCTCAGGCTCTGGTGTGCGTACCTCAAACAGCCATTATCGGCGGCGGCATCATTGGTCTCCCGAAGCGTTATGAAGAGCTCGGTGTACAGTTCATGACTGATTCTGAACTAGCTTGCGCGCATCGGGAGCCTCATTCGAACAATGACGAGCTATCTGCAGTGGATATTCACGTACATCAACCAGCGATCAGGTAACTCGTGTACCCTGTGTTGACGTCCCTCTTCCCCTCGGCAGCCCTTACAATACGCATGGCTGAGCGCGGGCCAAAGAGATGAGCCTAAAATGGATACAGACGTGGCCAGCTTTGGAATAAGCTGCAGCACACATGGTCTCAGTCACCACCCGTCGACAAGCTTGACGCGAAGCTGGCGTGCATCATTGCCACCAGATCTGGCTGAATCCTCTGAATGATGAGCTCGATCCACACACATCCTAGTTCATAGAGGGGGAGTCTCATGCCGCAGGTGCTATTGAACTTGGTGAGCAGTCACCCCCTGCATCGATTCGTTCACCACGCCAAAGGATCAAGAAGGGCTTGCCAAGCTTGTGGTCAAGTACATCTATGATTGTGGCTGGCGCGCATACATGCCTCGTACCGCCCATGGCCAGGCAATCATCGGCAGAGTCTCTGAAGCTGTCCTTTTTCCAGGAGCAAACAGCACCAGAGACGGCGTAGGCGGCGTCTATCTGCACTTTGGCCACGATTTGAAGATTACCCTTGGGCCCATTGCCGGGAAAGGAACGACAGAATTGATACTCGGCCAGACATCAGTGAACCCAAGGCCTTTTCCCAACTCAAATCTCGTTATTTGCATATTATCTAAGAAGGCTTGAATGTTGGTTTCGTACGGGAGCGTCGGCCAAAACTAAAGTGTACAAGACCTGAAAATGTGTTTGCTGCGGCATGGAGTAAGATCACAAAGCTAATGTGCCCCATGGGTTGAAAACCGCAGCTGCGACAGTGGTCAAGTACATCCAAGTGGCATACGCAAACCCGAAATACGAGCGTAAGCCGCATTGTCACAGGCGCGGGGGCATTGCATCTTCACTTGCATCATCTGCAGTCAGCATTGCCCAAACAACTTTCGATTTGCAGCGCTTCAGTCGGGCGTAGTACTGAGCGTCCAGCCGTCTGACCGCGAGTGCAGCCTCACCACCAATGTTGCACCATCTGTCTCACCGGTAGACTAGGTATTCATCTGCATGTAGTGGCGGCCAATGGAAGAAACAGAGCACGAGTAGTTGGAGACGCATGCCTTAAAAGCACGCAATCCGCATTGTAAATTGTGCTTTACTCAACTTCCTGGGGTAACATCTCCTCGTGTACGTACTAGACGCATCGACAAAGTCTCGAGTTATACGTGCTCTTCCGACATCAGCCTCGTCGCTCGCAATGCTTGTTGCTTTTCTGTTGGTCGGGCTGGGACTGGCCTCCCCGCCGCGGACCGTCCGAGCTGTCCTCTCCACCGACTCCTACCGATCGAGCCCCGGGTCCGTGGTCGGCGGGGGCTCGGCATACGACTACGCGCCCAGCATCATGTTGGACGGCGTGTACAAGATGTGGTGGTGCGGCCAGGTGCCCGGACAACCGGTTGCCGGCGACAGCATCCTCTATGCAGAGTCGTCCAGCCTCGACGGCCCGTTCCACGCGCGCGGCAGCGCGGCCTCGCACCAGGTCGTGTTTGGGGGAACCGGCAGCGGAAGCTTTGACAACGAGCATACTTGCGACCCGTCCGTCGTCCGCGTCAGCGGAACGTACTACATGTACTATGGCGCCGAAAGACACGACGGTGAGCCCACGACGATTGGCGTTGCGTCCAGCCCCGACGGCATCTCCTGGGCGAGGCTCAACAGTGGCCAGCCCATCATCACGCCCGCGAACCAGCAGAATACCGGCAACACGTACGGAGCGGGCCAGCCGAGCGTCGTCTACCGCGGCGGCCGGTTCCACCTCATCTTCACCGACACCACCGGCGCCGGGGCACTGGGCAACGGCGCCGGACAGTTCGCCTGGCGGTCGCCCGATCCGACGTTTCAGCGGGACGTCGACGTCTTTACCGCCTCTGGCTGGCAGCCCAAGACGGACGCCAACTCGCGCGGCTTCTCGGTCGCCAATGCCTTTTCTGCGGACTGGCAGTTCTCCGACGCCCTCGACGCCTTCATCATCGCCCACGACAACGGCGCCGGAGAGACCACGCTGACGTTTCTCGACGCTGAAAACCCCGCCGTCCAGAAGTACTCGCAGGTCGGCATTCCGGGGCCGTGGTCCGAGGGGCCCGGCATTGTCTCCCGGCCCGACAAGCACTCCGTCGTCTCCGCCAGCAACGAATGTGGGCGCGTTCCCGTCGACGTGATTCGCTCGACCACGGGGCCGCCGCCGCGAGAGCTGGGTCGCATTGGCGTCGATCTAGTCAGCGGCGCCAGCTGCGGCTCCATGCCCGACCGGGTTGCGGCCATCTACGAGGGGTACGGCATGCAGGTCCCCGGCCTCCCGGCTGCCGTTGTCGTGGACGGCCTCCGGCTGCAGATCCAGAGTCTCGCCGTGTACACGGACCTCACCCACAACGCAATCCAGGTTCCCCCGTCCGTCTACTACGCTGTTCCGTACGGTGCGTCCTTGCACGAGGGCGACGCCGTGCTGGGGGCCTCGGGTCTGCCGGGGGCTTTTCGGCTCGACAACAACACCCTCTGGCCAGTCAGCTGTCTTAAAATCGTCACCGACAACCACTCCCAAATCACAATGATAGACCCGGGAGCGTGGCAATCGTATAGGAAAGGGCCGAGCCTGTTTTGCCTCGGCTGAGTGGAGACCCTGACGTCAGCGAATCGTTCGCCTAGGGGTATCCAAAGCGAGGGGTTTGGAGCTGTCAAGTTGAGCCTTTATGGAACCAAGGGCCGTTTTTATATTCCCTCCGGGGGCCCCGCCGGGGGCCGGCTGCCCCTTGAATATACTGCATACATACAAGGCCGTCCCAATTATTTGATTCGTTCTGGGTAAAATACTTTTGGCTGGCCAACGAAGCCATTCACGTGCATGTCGCGACTCGTGAACCTCGAAAACCCTGCCAGCTGGCCGCAGGCCACAGCTCGGCGCAGGCGGCCCCCGGCAGGGCCCCCGGTGGGATAACTCACAGGCTTCTCCAGATAGTCGGTGCCGAGACAGAGACGCAGCGCGGCGGCGACCCCGATATGCAGCTCAGGCTTGCGACACCAGGTCGGGTCCTCGACGGTGCTCGGGCGCAAGGACAGCCGCGAGAACAGCCGCGAATTAAGAAAAAGTAAATTCCATGGCAAAACACAACACAATCGTGGGTTGCGCATGGGCGGGGATGGTGAAACGCTGCACGAGTACTCAACGCTGCGCCGGGTTTCAGGCCATGACTCGGGATGCCAAGCATGGCTGTTTCATTCATCTGACCCGGCAACTTGGACAAACCTGCTGGGGTATCAAATGAAGGTCTAAAGTTTCTGTCATGGGGGTGTAGATGGTATGTACTATGGAATCTCTCGGCTGGGTTATCGTGATGGCTTCACCGCTGACGGCTGCGAGATGCCTTTTATTCAAAGAGCAGCTGCGGCCGTCTTGAACGGCAGTTTCGAAGCAGCAACACCTGGTACTGGAAGCTCTTGACCCTACGCAGTTCTGGTGGCGCTCCTCGGACCATGTCGTCGCACTATACTGACTACTTCACGCCTACTCAACAGGTCTTGGCTTCTACACCAAATGTTTGACGGCAATGACGCACGCTTCGCTTCACTTGTAAGCGCCTTCGGCCGAAAGCCTCCATGTCACCATCTGCCGCCCGGCTAGAAGCGCAATGGTGGATTCGACGGCGGGTTTAATGGTGTAAACAAATCGGAGTCGGCCTGGTGCTTAATGTCAATTGGCGGGGAACTCCCCAAGTTTTCCATATCCACATGATGCAGCACTAGCGACGACATGACTATTTCCCATCTCACCCAACTAGCGCGGTTGCGAGACGGTACATAGGATTACTCGGTGGCAAGCTCACTCGAGTGTATTAGGCGTATGCTTCCAACATTTCACACTGCGACGGCAAGCAACCTGCCTCCGTTTCTGCGTTTCTGAAACGCCCCTCGGGCAGCCCGGCCATGAGCTCACTCGACGCATGCTGTGCGACCCGAGTCAGCCCACACCAGACATATGTCTATTTGCAACACGCTAGCCACAGCATATAGTCAATAGACTTTGTCGGGCCGCGCACGGCGTGATTATCGGCTCGGTCATGGAATGGCTGAGACGGAGTAGTGGACAACTTGCCATGCCATGGCCGTGAAATCATATTTAACACTTGGCCAACCTCGCAGACTCCCACCGCTGTCCAGTCATCTTACACCATTCCATTTCCACTGGCCCCTTTGCAGAAACCAACCATGACAATGGGTAGTCGCAGCGATTTCCCCCCCGGCACTGTCGAGCTGCTAAGCCGTAAGTCCTTCGCCAGCAGAGTGGTCGTGGCAACTCGCTCATATGGTGCCACAGGTCAAAAGTCGGGCAAAGAAGAGATAACTCGCAGGCCCACGCCGTCAGACGACCCCAACGATCCTCTGGTCAGTCTCGCGCCCTGCCCCCATGCCACCGGCCCGGAACTGACGTTTTTTTGTAGCGATGGCCGATGTGGCGCAAATTGTTCAACTTTGGGCTTCTCACGGCCATGACCATGGCCATTTTCACCGGGTGAGTCCCATCACGGCCCATGACGATGCCGCAAGTCTGCTGCCGCGGCCCTGCTAACGCCGTCCAGGCTGGCCATACAGTCGCTGTTTTTCAAACCCCTGAGACAAGAGCTGCACGTCACGACCGCCCAGCTGCTGACGGCCAAGGCCATCCTGCTGAGCGGGGAGGCGGTGACGTGCATCGTCTTCATCCCCCTTGCCAAAAAGTACGGCCGGCGCTCGCTGTACATTGTGTCGACGGCCGTCTTTACGGCAGCCGTGTGGTGGACGGCGTACATGCAGACGGCGACGGAGCTATATCTGACGAACCTGCTCAAGGGCCTTGCGGGCGCCATCAACGAGACTGCCGTGCAGATGAGTGTACGCCCCTTGTTGTTCTCTTCCTTTGGCGGCACCATCTCTTAACAAGTTTGACAGATCCGCGACATGTTCTTTGTCCACCAGAGAGGCACTGCCAACGGCTTCTACTTTGCCGCCCTCAAGTTTGGCTTCACCCTCAGTCCCATGGCCGCCGGCGCGCAGGCAACGGCATTCGGGTGGCGGTCGTGCTACATGACGCTCGCCGTCTTCATGACGGTTCTCACCCTGGTCTTTGCCGTCGGGTACGAAGAGACCAAGTTTGTGCGGCCCGCAGCCGACGACAAGGGCAGCGCCGAGGACGAGGATGCTGTTGACGGCGCGCTGGAAAAGGACCTGGACGAAAAGCGCACGCCCCAGGTGCCTTTCCCGCACTACCTCCGGCTCCAGCTTCTCACGCCGACGGGCGAGTCGCTCTGGAAGACGCTCTACCAGCCGCTCTTCACCATGGCCATACCCCAGGTCATGTTTGTGGCCGCCCTGTACGGCGTCGATCTCTGCACCATCACCGTGTCGGGGTCCATGAAGTCCATCATCTTTGTCGAGCCGCCGTACAACTTTACGCCCCGCGAGCTGGGGCTGATGCATCTCGGGCCGTTTGTCGGGTCGATACTCGGCACCCTGTACGGAGGATTCCTCATTGACGCCGCCATTGTGTGGCTGGCCAGGCGCAACGGCGGCATCTTTGAGCCCGAGATGCGCTTGTACTTTTTGCCCATCCCGGCCCTTGCCATGGCGGCCGGCATGGCCACGTTTGGCGTCGCGGCCGACCGCGTAAGCCCGGCCCTTGTTTTGCTGAAACCCTTGCGGCGGTGGCCGATCAATTGCTAACCATGTCTCGTAGGGAATGCATTGGATCTACCCCATCATCGGGACCACGCTCAGCTCCTTTGGATTCGGCGGCGTTGCCGACATTGTCTTTACGCTCATCATTGATTCGTATCCCGATGTATGTATTGGCCCATCCGGCTCGGGAGACGGCGCCTGCTGACAAGTTACACGGCAGATTGTTTCACAAACCTTTGTGGTGATTACCTTTTTCAGGAATGCGATTGGCGTCATCGGCGCCTTTGCCGTGGAGCCGTGGCGGCAGGCCATGACGGTGTCGGGCATGTTTGTCCTCATCGCCGGCGTAATCATTCTTGTTCACCTTGTGGCGGTTCCCATGGCCATCTGGGGCAAGCGGGCGAGGGCTGCCAATGCTGAGCGGTATTACCGCCTGTCGCAGGCGACATGGTAGGACTTGGCTGGAGGGACGTGCAAGATGCAATGGTGGACAATGGCCAACGAGACGTCATCTAACGTGTGCGTCCGTCGTCTGGCCGACCCTTTCTTTGATTTCGCGGTGTTGGATGGAGTTGCATAGCGTAAACTAGAAAAGGTAGAATCTACAGCCCCCTATAGACTGGAAAGGCGGCCTTTCCCCCTGGATAGATTTAGGACCCAAGTCCACATTCTGCCGTCGTGGCTGCTCGTGGCACAACAAGACCTTGTCAAGTACACAGCCAGTTGAACCCCTTTGCCGTGCGTCGTCACCAAACGGATGCATTTGTTGGCTGCCGTCCACAACCGACGCAACGATGCCGTCCACATCACCGGTCAGATTTCACGGTGTCCACCCTTTCCGCGTGTATATAATCACACCCAAAGGCACTACATTTCTCTGCCTGTAGCTGACGGTTTCTGGGTAATTCACAGACCCCCCCTGATTTGTAGTCGTCGCTTCGACCTGTTTGCATGATTAGCGGATACATCCCCGACGGTACGAATCTAGCACAGGGGACCTGAACATACAGTATCAAACGCGCTGTAGTCTCCTGGGCGGCTGACACAGGCGCAGCGCCCAAGGGAGACGCCACAAATAATAATGGCATGCTTCCGCGAAGCAATGTTGTGATTTTTCGCATAGAGATTCGCTTCTACAGTGCCCATTAGACGCGTACGCTTTCGAAGCGGTATACATGGCGTGCATACTGGAAGAGACAATGGTGGAGTAGATTGCCGGACCAAACATGCTAGACGGGTCTGCAGGGGAGGTCAGCAACGCCGACGCTGGTGGGAATTTCAAACAGCGCGCCGCTCACCCGATTTGCTGATGGAGAAGCCATTCCGGAGGATGCTGCACGTATAGCATTTGTTGTTGGAGCAGGGCTTCCACTTGTCGCCGCTGCTGCCTTCGTAGCAGGCTCGCTGCGTCCCGTGAAAGCGGATATGATGTCGGGGGTCTTTGCAATTTTTCCTGCGCACAGGACTTAGCGTGGGAGGCTGGGAGCTTGGGTTTGGATCAGAGCCCGGCCCAGACGTACTTGATGTAAATGCTCTTGATCTTGGCGCTCGTTCCCGGGTGAAGCCATTTACAGTAGAATAGATGCGTGACTGGTGGTTTTGGTTTCACGGTTACTCGTCTGGTCGAGGCTTGCCGAGGCTGCAGTGGTCACTCACGGTGCTTGTAGAACTTGCAGTTCTCGTCGAGACGATCAAGAGACTGTACGCAGAACAGAGTAAGAAAACGTACAGAGGGATGCTGATCGATATACACACCATGGTAAATCCGGCTTGCCTTGGCTCAAAGAATCTTGCCAGAAAACAAGTCTTTTACTCTGGGATTTTGAAAGGCATCGCCTGGCTGGAGGAGGTCCCCCCGTCTAATATCAAATGGCTTCCAAAGGTCGCCGGTCGCCAAAGTGTTGGGCGTACATGTGCGCGGTCCCCATCACGACGCGGCCGGGACCGTCTCTTGCATCCGTGGACTGTGCCTAAATCATCAGATGTGTAGTACCGAGCGGCAAAGGAGAGAAAACTGAGCCTTGTCTGCCATGTACGACGTTGGGCCGGCGGCGGTGCTCGATTACACGGCATGAATGGCCTTGTCTCCTCGCACCAACCCCGGACGGGGGAATCCAGACCATGACCTGAACTCGGCAGTGCAGTTGTTGGAGCCCAAGGCCATTCTGTTTGGGCGTCAAGAGCAGAGCCGCCAGTTTCTTCTCGTTTCCCACCTCTGGCCTCAAATCCACGACACCTCTCACAGTCCTCGCCGCCCTCGCAGTCCCTCGATAAACCGCAAGTGTCTGCATCATGGGGTCCTCTGAAAGCCGGGCAACAACCCCTCCGGCGTCTCACACACAGCGAGCAAGAGTGCCCCGACCGCAGAACAGCGCTGTTCCCAGCTCCAACAACAAAGCCATGCAGCAGAGGGAGATCCTGCGAGAAACGGCCAGGGAGACGCTGGCTGCCGTGCACAGCGTCCAGAGCCAGCTGCCGTCCGTCGACCTGGGCATGTCGACAAAGTACTCGTTCAACTCTCTGCGACGCCTCGGGCCAAACCAAGGCGTCGGCCTCCCCCAGCGCACCACCATCCAAGTCGTCAACGAGGACACTCTCAACGCGGCCACCAAGCTGTCGGCGTCGGCGCGTGCTCACGGCAGCAGGCCCCCGATCGTGGTCAACTTTGCCAACGCGCGCACGCCCGGCGGGGGCTGGCTGAACGGCGCCGTGGCCCAGGAGGAGGCCATTTGCTACCGCAGCTCGCTGGCCATCAGCCTCAACCCGCACCACTATCCCCTGGCCGCCGACGAAGGGATATACAGCCCGAGCGTGCTCGTCCTGCGCGGGGACATGGCCTCGGGGCACCAGCTGCTGGTCCCCCAAACGCCTCTCGCCGACCTGCCCCTGGTCAGCGCCGTCACCATCTCGGCCATCCGCCAGCCCGCGGTGCGGACTTTTCAGCTGGGCCGCGGCGCGGCGCGGCTTCCCGCGCACCAGCAGGTACAGCGTGTGTACGCCCGCGACAGGGACCGCTCCCTCACCAAGGCCAAGATGAGGTTGGCGCTGCGCATGGCGGCCCTCCACGGCCACGACATGCTTGTTCTCGGCGCCTTTGGCTGCGGCGTCTTTGGGAACCCCCCGGATGATGTGGCCCACTGTTGGCTGGAGGTGCTGCGGGAGCACGAGTTTACCGGCAACCGGTGGCGCGAGGTGTGGTTTGCCGTCTTTGATCCGGACAACCGGGGCAACTTTGAGACGTTTCGCCAAGTACTGTCCGGAAAGAAGGTTTGAGCGTCGTGGTTTGAATGGGTTTTACGCGACTCTGGTTGAGTGTCCAAGATTGACACGAGTATGGACCGGCATGTGATAGGCGTCTGTAAATTGGTAGGCCTAGCAAAGTGCTTCTTGTTTCTCGCCAAATTTGATGACAAACACCTAGACCTGTGAGTATCAAGATGAATATCCAGTCGGCCGAGACTAGTCCCGCCCAGTCTGTGTAACTTGGCCTGGTCCAACTTGGATATTCCCAGCCGTATACTCCGTACCCGAGCCTGGATTACTCTCGACTCAGCCATCAGATGCTGCGTTCCAGGCTTCCAGCGTTTGGCCGCACGACCCATGTTCTTGGCGGGCGAGTAGCTTGGTTGGGTCGCTGTGCGCATAAAGCAATGCAGTCAGACAGTAATAATAGATACTTTCGGTTCGACCGGTTGAGTATGGACAGCTTGGTATGGTGGTATCATGTCGGGGTGATTGGTGATGAGTCAAGGACTGACTAAAACAGCTGCAGCTCGATTCCCTTTGGCCGATAACAACGCTCAACAGGCAGAACTGACGTGGCACGCCGCGACACCAAACGAAACCAACCTGGTGCCGATCGTCAAACCAGAGTGAGACAAGGCAACCGCCTCGGTTTCGAAACAACCAATGCTGTTCAGGAGGCTCAGGTTGATGTAACCAGTCGGCAGACCATTTAGCCCAGAATCCCTGTGGTTTCTCTGTAGCCACGGGCGAATAAAGCATGTCTTGCCCACGTTGCATTGGATCCCCAGGCGGGAGTGCCCGCCGCACCCTGGGCACCATGTCCAGCCAGGGTCTTGACTGGCAATCCGAATATTCATGCGTCAGGCTGTCAGTGGTGATGAGGAGACTGCAATGCAAAGACGTAGATGTTTGTGACGTGTCTGTCGCCAGGCCGGCCAAGCCACGGTATTGTTGTTTGGCATGCCCGCGAGCTGATGATACGCGGCATGGAGAGGTGAGACAACGCGCAGGCCAACGTGACCGGCACAATGTACGTGACGAGTCGCGTGAGGCATACGCAGACACGTCTCTTCTGTTGTGTGGGCAAATTGACCTATGAAATGCACTCGAGCACAACCAGTGTGAGAGCCTGTTGTGACTGTCTAGTTGAACATCCGCAAATCGTTCTGCGATGCGTGAGTGAAGCAGCAGGTGAGCCTTGAGAACCATGTTGCGCCGTTTTTGAAAATATGGGACTCTGGAAAAATTAACACTGTATTTGGAAATCTTGTTGGCTCTCTTCCTAAAGCAACTGTCATTGTCTCTGGACAAGGCGTCTGAAAAGTAAGAAATACTCTTGTTTCGTCAAAAGCTCAGCTACAGGATCATCAGCCCTCCGGCCTACTTTGACCACTCTCCCCCCATAAACCTATTCAGAAAATCAAGCGAGCCCTCGCCCTCGTACTGCGGGACTTCGTGGCCGGCTTTGTATATCTGCATCAACGACAGGCCCTGTGCAGCCCTGACGTTTCCGTAATTCTTGCCCGACTTGGCATGAAGCTCCTGAGACCTGGCGGCGTTGAGCGCACTCTTTCCAGGCCATTCCAGCGCCAGCGTCCAGGCCTCATTCCCCAGCCAGTTGCAGATGTAGTCGATGTCGCCCGCATAAATCAGAACCGGAATCTTCTCCAGGATACCGGGTACAACTCGGTGGGCAGGCGTCATCCAGTCGCCGTTGTTGACAAAATCGTTGTAGACGTCAAAGTTGCACTCCTCGTATGCGCGGCTGGCCTCGACTCCCAGCGCCTGCTTGGTCTTGGTCGAGCTGAGGAATTGCGAGGCGTAGCTCGTCTTGCCGGTGCCGATGGGAGACGTAATGTCGTAGACGCTGTTGTTGGTGCCGCTCTGGTAGATGCCCAACAGAAAGTTGTTGCAGTAGTTTGTCGCTTGCCTGCAGACTCTTGCGCTCGGGTCGTTGTAGCATACACCAATCTGCCGCTGACACTCGGGCTCGGCGTTCTCCATGGCCTGGCAGTCGCTCTGAGACAGGACGGCGGGATAACCGCCTTGGCCGCAAGCCGTGGGCCGGTAGTACAGGTACTGAATGTAGGGATCGGTAAGACCGTTCCCAATAGCCAGGCCCTTGAGGTTGATGTTGCTGTTGTTGTGGGAGAGCAGCTCGGCGCCAATGGCGGGGATGTAGTGCCCCGCGTAGGACTCGCCCGTGACGAAAAAGTCGCGCTCGGCGTACTCAGGGAATTGGTGGAAGAAGAGCGTGAGCATGGCGTAAATGTCCTTGGCTGCGGCTTGGGAGCTTCCCGTGATCTTGGTGCCGTAAGAGTAGCCCACGTTGACGGGCTGGTCGATGAAGATGACGGAGGCATTCGAGTTCCAAGAGTATGGGTTATCCACGGGAACCAAGTCCTCGTTTGGGATAGTGGCAGGGCCAAGCTCTTCAAAGAGGCCAATGAAGGAGGAGCATCCCGGGCCGCCGTTGAGCCAGAGAACCACGGGGTCCTTGGCGGGATCGTTTCTGGATTCGAAAAACCCTGACAGAGAGAATTAGTCTGCAGGCCGACAGCTCGGGCTAGTTGCAGTCTTACAGTAAAACAGGTGCTTGTCCTCCTGTTCTTCGTCGAGATAGCCACTGAGCTGCTTGACTTTGTCGACACCCAGCGCCGCAGGGTCGGCCTGTCGAACTCTCAGTTGGTAGTTGGCCAGCTCGCCGTCCAGTCTCTTGTGAGCGCCTGGTTTCGTGCTGGCGTCCTGGATCTCGGCGCCCTTGACAATGTGGTCCCAGAAGCTGTCTGGCCGGCGGTCTATTGCTTCTTGGTAGGTCGAGGCCTTTTTGACCTTGGTGAGGTCGGCGACGACGGTTGAGGCCGCAGCCAAAAAGAGGACGGAACTGGAAACCCGCATAGTGAGTGAGGGGACAGTAGATTCTGGGCTGCTCGGTGCTGAGGTGCAAGTTTGCTTCTTGATGTTGCCCGGCTACTTATACCCTCCAACCTCTCAACCTCGTCGCCGAGCGAGAGAGCGACCGACCGACCGACCGTGCGTGCTCATAGTTACCAGAGGCAACCCCTGGTTGCTCAACAGGGTCAAGATTCATGCGAGGAAACCAAGTCTGGATAGGAAGGTACAAACGTAGACGTTGTTGGCGTTTATACGACACGGCGGCGACCATGCGAGCAGCCGCTGCATCTTGGTTTCATGGCCCCCGTTGTGATGGCGCCATTCCGCCATGTCCTAGTGTACAGTACGCTGTTCCACAACCACGGAACTGGGGGCCTCGATGTTACCCTTGTGTGGCTGCATTAAGCAGGTCTGAGCAGGATGATCACGATGAGTAGCCGAATCGGCAGTTCAAAGGGACAGAGCGTTTTCCCTCCCCGCTTTTTCTCGGCGATCTTGCACCGCAAGAGATACAAATCTAGAGCACGGATGGTAACGTGCCAGTGTGTCGTCATCAATGTCCACCCTCTAGTCGTGCGGCGACTGGGTTACACTGCCAGTTTCTGCCAAACGTGGAGCGGGAGAAAAAGAAGCTTCCAATATAGGTAATTTTTCTGCATTCATATTCCGCCACTTTTGGGTCGCCGCCAGGGTTGTAGATTGGTACTGGCGTTGCTATTCGACAGAGTTGAGACTTGCAGTTGCTGTCTTGGGCAACCAATCATGTTTTCCGGTCCTTGACCTAAACTAAATGGAGTTGAGATTCTGTCAGGGACCGGGGTCAATGTCTTTCAGTCTGTTTGAGTGTGAATGACAACGACCAAGTTTCATCGGCTCCCGGCGCCAATTCCACCATCATTAGTTCCACCGGCAGCCGATTGCAACGGCTGATGAAAAGGGCAGCTCGGGAGTAGTTTGAACTTTTGGAGACGGACACAAGTCTACCCGCAGTTTTAATGCAGCACACTCTAACCCCATTTGATTCGCCTCGTCGGGGCACTTTTGCCATGCTTTCGTTCAACATTGGCCGAAACTTTATCTGTAATGGTGACTTGAGACGACAGGTATTTCCAGGCGCAGCGCTCTGTGACGAGTACAAGATATCGGGGTCAAGCTGGCTGGACCCCTTGCTCGTACCACGCCGAGTTCGGGACGGCTCGCACTGTCTGATTCGCATGTATCCCTGAAAAGGTTTACGTACTATTATCAATCTCCTAGTGTAATTTGGTCAGCTCTCAAGGTTCGCAATGGCAGTAGATGGCTGGACTCGAGTCCGTACAGAAATGCACTCTCTAGCCCTGTGTTGTGAGATGAGGGTCTCGAGTCACATCATCACCAACCGGTCCAGGCTCGGAAACAAGGTCGCTCTCAAGTGACGATGAACAGATTGGATGCAGCGCCGTCAACGGGCTTGCTTGGTGTTGTGTTGATGTGTTTGGCCCAAGCCTTTCCGTCTCCCCCCTCTTCAACCTCGCGCTGCTTCATTTCAGTAGACCTTTCTTTCTGCCGTTTCTTTCCATCGCCTCCCTCGCCATGAAGGTCTCTTTTCCACGTCTTTGGTCAGTACCCTCACTTCCAGGGTGAATTTGCAAACACACAATGTACTTGTCGCACTTTCGTGTAAGAAATCATTCATCATACGCCCCAGACACACTGGTAAAGACACTTTCAGCCAGGAAACCGATGCCTTTCGACGTAGAGAAACGGATCCAACGGGTTTAGCCCGATAGTTTTGGCTTTGATTCCTGAAATTCCGCCTGAGCTCGGCGGCATTTTTGCCCTCGCCGAGCTCACAACCGTCCCGGAGAAAACGTTTCTAACAGGGGCCACGTCGATCCTCGACAGAATCGACACTCTTGTTGCCTGCCCTGTACTGCATCGGGCACATGGGCCCAGGGATTAAACAAGGGAGAGTGTCCCGCCAATGCAAACCTGGTCAGCGACTACGTTTCGAGCCGATAATCCGGGTACAGACTACCTTCTCCGGCGCGTGGGGGGGACTGGCCACTTGGTCGTCCTCAAAATCTCGGTAGAGAAGTCAGAGGCGTGGCTGTCCATTCTCTCTCCTATTCACATCGCCACTCCAATATCAGCTGCTGCGCACGCGCCTTGCATTGTGATCAGAATGACGACCCTTGTACTCTTGTGCCTTTCGCAAGATTGGTGGGGATCCTTGTCATTGCCATTTTGGTCTTTGGCGGCTGTGTGGCATGACTTTGTTTGACAAGATGGTTGCCGGCATCTCGATGATGCTGGTACACCTCGATGCAATCTCAAAATGCTTGGCTAGGTTCTGCTGATCGTCTTGCTGGTCGCAACTGCCAGTCTACTGGAATTCTCAAACGCTGCACAGACAAAATCCTTGTGCACAGGCGCGTCTTGGAAGTCGTTGGAGCTCAAGCCTTACGACAGGTCGGTGTCCTTGGGCAAGCAGCTTGCTGATGAATATGGGGGGAAGTTGGGCTGGGCCACAACGGCGGGCATGGTGAACAAAGAGGATTTGCGCACATGGAGCATGAATGACAGTAAAGATGCCAGAGGCAAGCGTTGTGTGTGGATGCCCATGTCGTCTAGGCACAAGAGAGGGGATTTGAGCCAAGAAAACAGGCGACATTGGGGCAAGTGGTCATGTGATTCAAGGCTGATTGTTGGCGGTGAGATGGAGCCAAACATGGGTGAATTGAAACACAGAGCTTCAACATTAAAGGGCGAAATGTCTCTGCCCAGTGCTCTGAATGTCAAAAAAAAGCAATTTGCCAGCGACTACGCATTTACCATTGCTTCAACAATACCATCTGCATCTTCCTGTGCTGGCAGCCAAACCCTGACAACCTCGAAACCAGCCCTGCCGAGCAATTCCCTCCACTGCGCTTCGGTTCGCTCCATGCCTCCATTAAAGGCCATCATGGCCATGTCGAGCATTGCATGGAGCGTCGACGCCCCCCTCTCGGGGATAACCATGTCGTGGATGAGCAGCTTAGAGTAACCCGGCAACATGGCGCCCCTGAGCTTCCCCAAGATCTCCAGGCACTTTTCATCAGACCAGTCATGCAGGATGTGGTGGTACAAATATGCTCGTGCACCTGCCCGCCATTCAAGGTTAGTCGAACCCGTCGTTCCAGTTGACACACGGAAATCTACCGTGGCTGTACCTCTGACTGGTTGTTCGGTGAAGAAGTCATGCGTCATAATCTCAATCTCGCCGCTCAGATCCTTGACGTGATCAGTGACCGCGGCCAAATCTTGAAGAACCAATCGACCATGTCCCGCATATTTTTCGTGGAATGCCATCAGATCATGGCCTTTGCCAGCGCCCACGTCCACGAGCACCGCCGACTGGCCATGGAGGCCGGTGAGCAGCCGGTCCTGGACGGGATACCAGTCAACCCAATAACTTCTAGAGCCCATCGTGTTGCCCATGAAGAGATTAAAGTCTCTGAGAATATCGGGCATGGAACTCAAGAGCTCAAACGTCGTCATCTTGGTCTGAAAGGCAAACTGCACAAGGCCGTCCCGTGGATTGGCTGGGCATCGATGCCCATATTCCTTGAGATACTTTGGCGCCTTTTGGGCCGTGTTGACAATCACCTCGCCTCTTGGTTCTCGTAAGCAACAGGTCGTATGAAATGAAGAATGGGGGCTGGGTCTGGTTACATCATTCTGTGCCCTGCGGCGATTCCCTCGGATGCCATTGCATGAGTCACTGGAGTTGCTGTCCATTGCCTCTCGCCGACTTCGTTGACGATTCCAACGGACGACAGAGGTCGTAGGATGCGGACTTGTTTGCCGACGGTTACTGAATATCCTGTAGTATACCGAGTGAGCACTCACTAATTAGCAGCTCTTCTCCGCCGGATTCCGAGGCCAGCCGTGTGGAGGTGACTGGGCCAGTGGCACTGGCAATCAACTCAAAAAGCCTCAGATTGATAGCAACCCGAGCCGCGACGGTAATCAATGGCTGTGCAAGAGACACAATGGTGAGCGAATTGTACACACCAAACCGCGAGCCAGTTGCTGTACCGAATAGGCCAAATCCACTGCCACGTTGGGTGGCTGGCCAAGCTCCATTACGAGCCTTTTGCTCAGCCGGAGGGCATCTTGCCTTGCGCCTTGATTGTCTTGCAGAGCTAGCGTTGGCTTCAGGTTGCAAAGTTGCTCAATGAGAGTGATGGACGAGCTTGCACCTGCCATGTTGGACCTCTGCTGGACGTTTGCGTCTGAGGTCCTTTTCATCTGAGAAATGGGACCAACATGATGAAAGTCGGATGAGGGGAGAGGCCCAACTTGGAATGTGATCCACGGATAAAAGGTTTAATGTTTTGCCACATACACTTTAAACACTGGAGATTTTCCTAGTCGTGCAAGGGCTTCATGTCGCTAATGTATCGTCACAGAATGAACGCCGAGCATGACGAGCGGTGAGCACAAGGAGATGCGTTTCATCGCACAGAATCGTTCTATCCAACCTAACCCCCATGTCCCCAGATCTTGGCTATATTATACTCACTCCAGTACATGGTTGGCTTGATGCCGCAAAACTTCCACTCGCCGCCAGCCTTGCTGTACTTGATGTAAACCAGAGCATGACCATGGCCCTTGGCTTCCACTGTGGCCTTGGTGCTGTCTGTATACTTTTGATGCGCAGCCCGAACCTGATGCGCCCCTTGTACCACCGTTTCGGATATCCAATTGTACTTGGACGCCCCAATAAGATGTTGGGTGTCGATTAGGGAACTGCCAAGCATATTCTCGCCGCTGGCAAATGCAATAAAGTCTTCCGCGGTCATTGACTCATCCCGTGGGCCAGACAGGAACGAGTAGTCAACCTGGCCGGCATTGTTAGCTCTGTAACAGCATCACCATGCAAGTTGTCAACGTACATCGAGTATTGGCGCCAAGATGTGTCTCAATCGGTCCCAGTCCTGTCCGTTGCACTCTGAGAATTGTAACATGAAGACTGAATTGAATAGCGACAAGACGGAGCATACCTTGGTATCAAAGCTGTCTGCCCAGTCGAATGCAATGGCAGAAAAATCCAATGCGTCTAAAGGAAAAAGTTGACAACGTTCCTGCTTTAATTGGGAGAATAAACTCACCTTCGGGGGTAACCTTGGCTGGCATCATTGCTTCGGTATAATGTACTGTTTGAGTGACAATGCGATGACTATTGCTTGGATAATGAAGAGGAAGATGTAATAACGGAATAAAGGAACGAAAATGGTAGGCTGATATAAATGGGTTTAAAATGTCTTGGATAGCTGGTAAACTCGCGTACTACTACGACTGTTCCAGCACTATAGAAATATAAATGGTCCAACCGGCATGAGACGGAAAATATAATACAAATGACAAATTCATAAATGAATTAGTCATTAGTATCGATTTCCAATCCTAACACGCACGCCATACTACGCTACCAGAAGCTTGAATGCCCATTACACCCGAACGTGCCGATCTCGGGCCGACGCGACGGCTTCGTGCGGCGTTTGTAAAAAAGACTGTCGAGGGTAAAAGGCAACCTGGCACTCATACGCTGGCAAATTAAATCATGTTGCATTCACTACCAATTGCGTGCAGAAATACTTGGCTAAGCTGCAACGATACCAACTGCCCACGGCGTCTACTTGGGTCATTCAATGTGTGCGTATTCATGAGTTGTATCGGCCAGGGTGTGAGAAGACTGGGAAATACAGACGTAGGTTACGGCCCGGCGCAGAGCACCCTTGGCGCCGCGTGAATTTACTGAGAGCGTGATTGTATCCAATCGGGCGCCGTCCCGGGCGGCCCGGCCGACTGACTGCCGATGTCCGCTTGCTTCCGGCGGCTAACTGGATTGACACGCCTGCCCTGGACTCGGCATCCAGCTTCTTCTTTACGCAATCAATAGTCTTGGCCAGTTTGGCGCGCATGGTTGGCGTCGACACCGTGCGATTTGAACCGCTCGAGTTGATTCCTTCATGCCCAAACGCCGAGGCCACGTTGGCCGTGTAAGTCGCAACACCGCAGCATCACGCGACCCTCGGTAGAGATGCAGACCAGTCTTTACCAGACTCGAAGTAGATGCTTTGTACACCGAAAGATACGCCGAGCGGCCATCAAGCAAAGCACGGCCAGCACAGTAACCGCAACGTATGAGTACAGTTAAACATGGGATTCGCGTAATATAGTAAATTGACTACCCATCATGGCCATACCCAGGAACCCATGGCAACGGAAACCTCGAGCTCCCAATTGACACAACGCCTCCTCATCATGATTCTGAAACCACTTTCCAGCCCAGAATCCGCCACCAAACCACCGCGAAGCAGCGTCCACGTCCAAACAGCAGCACACAAAGTCGCAGCCCAGGCGACGGCCTTCCGTGCTCAGCACCTCGGCGGAACGTCGGTGACGCTGCAGAATCCGTCGTAGGGGAGCTCCCTGCTACCGGCACCCCGGGCCTCGCAGCAGTTCACCATGGCCCCGATGTTGACGCCGTTGCCGCCGCAGAGATTATTCGATATGCAGATGTGCGAGCCCTCCTCGAAGTGCTGCTGGCCGCCTACTGCGGCGCAGCAATCCTTGGTGACGCGGTAGTCGATACAGCCGTGGGCCTTGTTCAGACAGACCTCGGCGTATCCGGCCATGGTGCCCTTGAGGAGGGCGAGTGCGATGGCTACGATGGAGGCGTGCATTGCGGCGAGACTGTTGTTGGTTAGTGCGAGGATTTTAAGCCTTGGCCGAGATTCTTACCGTGTTTCTTCGTGATGACAGAGTAATGTGGTGATTTGAATCGTGTAGACGGACTGCCGAGTGAATGAGTTGTCGTCTCGATTCAGGAGGCAGCTTCCGTATTTATATTTCTCATGTCCGTCCGAGTCTAGGCGTCTATTTGTCAAGACGACTCACTCTGTCGGTGTAGTTGACCACTGCTCTTTGTTTTTGCACCGAGATGCCATGTTTTCCTGTACCAACGGCACATCGTGGCCATGCATGTTTTAGTTGTTGCCATCTGGAGGATAATCGTTGACATATCCGGCTGGGCTTAGAGTGGTCGGGGCTGAATGTGCGTTTCGCAGCCCTCACAAAGTTGGTATGTGATGCTGCAACGTCAGCCAGAGCAATGGCGATCGGTCACGGCTTTCCGGATTCAGCAATTAGAGGCTGTGCGTAGTCAACCACACCGCCCTGCTTCACTCGGATGGATACAGAATCAACGAGGTTAGCATTCTATCGCGAGATGGAGACCCGAGTTTCGCTGCGTTGTACAGACTAGAGTTCTTGATATGGTCTGACTACAGAAGCCACCAAACAAATGCATCTTGTTAGTAGGAGGCTTACTTATGTCTCTTTTATGTAGGCCATCGGACCACTTGGCGGCGCAAGAAATGCCGCTCGTCATTACGGTGAGCAGAAACCGCCCAACCTGATGACGATCACACCGACAGACCAACACATGTTTTTGCAACTGCCGTCAGAATTAGCAAGAGTCGAGTGTCGATCATGGCGCCGGCTTCCAGTCGCCGTGGTTAAAATCTGCCAAGTCGGATTCGACTGCAAAGCCTCAGTACAGTACTGGCGACGCTGGCCGGTCGGAAGCAGTGATTGCTTTCGAGACTCGCAACAAAATATCCGTCAGCAACTCAAGTGGCCAGTCCACTCAGTTGCCAACGGGCAACAGGCGTCAATGGCAAGCAAAGCAGAGGCCTCGGGGTAAGATTTGCATTCATCTCCGCAGAGGCCACGCCGCGCCGCTGTACGATCTGAGCTCCTCGACGACAAAGTGAAATGTGACAGTCCGAGTAAACATCGGCCCTACTCGGCACAATTGGCCACAACAGCAGCGAATGCAATGCCAGCCCGAGATCCCGTCCAGTATCGACCAGGGGCGACGTGGTACATGGCAATCTCATCAGCCAAAGGGACATGGTCGAACCAGCACCGTCACGCCTCCCATCGCCATGTCTGCGTGCCGTCTGTCGCCTTTGCCTCCAACATGTTGCCGCCCTTTTCCCACGACATAGACGGCAGCACTCGCGAACCATGGCACGAGAGCCGCTCCATCAACTCCCCCGCGAGCCCTGGTACACCCGCGGCGGCGGTCCCGTGCCTCGCGCGCCGTTGATAATGTGGTCGCTCTGCCGCAAGCTCGTCGCCAGCTTGGCCCTGATTTCCTGCGCCGTGTGGTACGCACAAACGCACTTTTACCGCGACCCGGGGAGCCGCTTCTTCGACCCGAGCCGGGCGTACGAGCAAAAGTACTCGCGCCACCGCAGGGCCGAGGTGCAGCAGTTCATTGAGCAGTACGCGTCCGCCGGTGCCGCCCATGACGCCCCGACTCGAGGTGAGTCAGGCGCAGGCCGAAGCCTCTGTGTGACATTCACCTCTGTGAGGCGGCAGCGCATCCAGTACGTCGAGGTGAGCGGTTTCCCTACATCATGCGTACGACCTGGGCCGTGACACTGACTCCTTTAGACGGCCGTCGCCAGTGCCCTGGGCAACCTGCTCCCCCAGGAGCGCGCGGATGTATATGTAAACGTGTTCATTGCCGAAACAAACCCCGACCTGGCACCGGGAATGGGTCCGCTCGGCCGTCGACAGCCTGTACACGTACAACGTCTCACGGGCGCAGGCGGAACACCTCGAGACGCTGGAGGATAAGCGGGAGTTTGCAGAAAAGGGCGTGTTTGACTATATATACGCGCTCGAGGCGTGCGCCCAGACGGACACGCCGTACATTGGCATTCTCGAGGACGACGTCCTGCTCGCCGACGGCTGGCTCGCCCGCGCGCTCCTGGGCCTGCGCGACATTTCCAATGTCCGCAAGCCGTGGCTGTACATGCGCATGTTCAACCACAGTGCGGCAAGGCGTCGGTGTGGCCGCCGTCGCGGGGGGTCGTCGACGAGCCGTTTGGCTGCTGCTCGCAGGTCATGGTCTTTCCGCGCGAGCAGGTGGCCTCGCTCGTGAGGTTTCTCGGCACGCGCCGCGGGCAGGTTGACTTGCTGCTGAATGAGTGGGCGGAGGAGGCGGGCCTTGCGCGGTATGCGCTGTACCCGGTCATGGCGCAGCACATGGGTACGTGTTTGAGACGAAGGGTGTGAGAGTTGATGTGATGCTTATTTGCTGCCAGGTGTCGATTCGGCGAGGGGGACTGTTGTGGACGAAGCCCAGGCGATTTGGAGCATGGCGTTTGAGGATCTCGAGCCGGCAAGGCTGGACCGGGACCATAGGAGAATGGTCAAGGAGTATTACGGTGGTTAAAGGGTCGTGATGGCCCTGATGGGAGAGTATTATTAAAGTATTTGCTATATACAACAAGAATAAACAAGGTCACGCTCGCATGCCTCTACTCTTAATCAGTGGCAGGTTGTTCAAACATGGCCCGTCTTTCTCCAGGAGATGCCTTCACGTCATCCTGCCCCCCGTCCGCCGGCAGCCGCCGTCTCTCGATAATACTCGTCGTTGTATCCCCTCTCCACGGCATCAATCTGCAGCGCCAGCACCCTCGAGTACTGCCTCGCCCAGCTAATAGCCCCGGACATGCACCAAATACCAGGGACGCCGCTCGGCCGCCACCACTACCAGAGCGTCAGTATCTACTTACAAGAGTCAACAAGGCAGACACTTACCCCTATACGCTCGGATTCCTCGTCAAGACGTCCCCATTCCCGGGCACTCACCCGGCCGGCCAAGTCCCTCCCAAGCAGCCGTTCGACCACGTCACCGGTGCGCTCCCACCCGGTCGCCAGCACAATCACATCCGCGTCGAGCCTCCTCCCGTCCGCCAGCTCAACACCGCGATCGTAAAAGGCCCCCAGCCCCCCCTTGCACCGGTGGACCTTGATCCTCCCGTCGACAATCATCTGCGCCGCGCCCTGGTCAATGTAAAAGTGGCCCGACTTGAGCACCAGCAGATCCAGCAGGCTGATGCCGTCCTCGCCCTTTCTCAAAGCCATGCCGGCCCGTTCCATGCCGCCGATGAGATCCCCGTCCATCTGGGCGCATACAGACGTCGTGCCAGAAACCAGCGTGAGCGCGAGCACATTGGGCACAGACGTCTCGATGAGGTCCGCGTCCTCGATGCTCAGATGGGGAGTTGCCCAGAGGGCAGTGACGGTGCGCTCGCAGGAATCCGGCGTGAGGAAGAGGCCCGTGCCGCGCTGGATCATGGACACGCTCTTGGCGCCGTGGGTGACAAAGTCGAGGGCCACGTCGTGCGCGCTGGTGCCGGCCCCGACAATGGCGACGTTTTTGCAGGCCAGGTTGGACACGCTGGATGCCGACTTGTGCCGGGACGAGTGGTACATTTGGCCGTGGAAGGAATCTTGGCCCGGGGTGTCTAACTGCACGGGCTGGTCGCTGTGAAGGCCTGTAGAGAGGACGACGTGCCTCGCCTTGGTGGTGTAAGTGGCTCCGTTTGTCTCGAGCTCGATTATATAGCTCCTGTCCTTGCGCACAACGCTCTTGACCGTCGTGCTCATGCGCGTCTTGAGATGCATGATTTTGCTGTAGCATTCCATCCATTCGCTGTACTGGTCCTTGGTCATGTGTCTGGGCCAGTTGGCAGGGTACCGCAGGAACGGGAGATTGTCCATGGCCGAGGGCGTGTGCGTCTTGAGAATGTCGTAGCGGTTGCGCCACGAGTCGCCGATCCTGGGGTTCTTGTCTACCAGCAAGTAGCGGAGTCCCATGTGTTCCAGCTGAGCGGCAAAAGACACACCACACTGGCCTGAAGATGTTCCGCGTCAGTAGGAAATAAAGGGGGAGAGGGGGACGGGCTCACCGCCGCCGACGACCAGGACCTGCAGCTCGTCCGACTCCGGCGTTGTCTCTGGTCCATTTGCACCGTCTCGACCCGCGTCCTGCGTCTCTTTTAGCCGTTCCAGCTGCGTGGAAACGGTCCAGGCCTTCCACTCGTCGGGCCCCGTGTTGGCGAGGCGAACGACCCCCCGTCCGGAGCCGAACTTGGTCGTAAAGGCGAAGCCCGCCTGGATAAAGGTCGCGGGCCCCAACTGCTCCAGCCTCGGGCCCAGCATGGGCGTCTGTACGGCCGTCAACTCTCCCAGCCCGGTGGTTGATCCTAGGACAAATGCGCTGATGGCCGGGGGACCGTACTTGGAGGCCACGTTCCAGGTCAGGGCCACGAGGTCGCGCCACCACGATTCCTGCACAAACAGGCTTTCAAAGCCCGCGACGTACTTGTCGTCAATGGCCGAGGAGAGAGCGGCGATCCATTTGTTCACGACCTCGCCGGCGTTGATGCTTTCACGGGCGGTGGATGCGTCGAGGCAAAGAGGCGGCAGCGCAGTCCGGGGGGGATATGTGGCGAATCCCTCGGCGGTTGCCGGCATCGGAGGAGACATTGTCTATTGATTAGAGACAGTGGAAACTGAGAAGCGACCAACGCTTGCGGACGGCTGCTCGTTTTAACCGGCAGCAGGTAACTCAGAGTCGTGTTGTGTAGTTGTCGAGAGGTGTAGACTCTGCAGAGTATAAAGCTGACTGCGACGGTGACCGCTCATCGAGACTCGGCAACGCGGGGTAAGCTCCGTCATTCAGTCTTACTCTTCTGACGGATCTTGTGACACAAGATCGTCTGGAGATAAAAAATCAAGGCAGCAATCGGAGTGGAGTAGATGTGCTTGTTCTCCGCGAGGCCGTGTCTGTGCCGTGGAGTTTTGGCCAAGCAAAGGCACACTGCTGTAATCGGAACGGAGTAGTTTGGTTGGGCATAATTCAACCTTACATGTATAGCTTATCGAGCCGCACCGCCGTGGAGACTCGGGAGAGGGCGCGGCGTACCCGGATACGACCTTGTTCGCGGCGCTCGAATACGTCTCATCGGAGCTGTATAGCGCCTTGTCCTATCAGATGACGCATGGTGCTCGCATGGACTTGATCTTGACAGTACGGGCCCATCGCCGAGTGACGAGGGAAATGCCGCTCCGTGTCAGCATTGCCTCGGCGGGTTTGCTTTTTTTCTCTCCTCTTTTACGTCAAAGTGCCCGTGTCATGTAAAGATGGTCAACACATGTCCGTTCTCGCATCGTGTCAACAAATCATCGCCGACTTGGCCATAACCAGCCGTCTATAGTTTCTTATGCACGTTAGAATCATGTCCGAGAAATGCGCCTCCTACTTTCTTATGCACACGATAGCATCATGTCCGAGGAAGACGCCGCCTACAGTTTCTCATGCACGTTGGCATCATGTCCGAGAAGAAGCCGCCTATAGTTTCTCATGCACGTTGGCATTGTCCGAGAAGAAAGCACAGGGACAGACTGCCACCTCTTATAAATCCCAATGAAGCCGTCTTTTTGTAAAGAAACTCCAGCACATTCTGAACCTTGAAGAGCCCTGCTCACCCATCATGTCCGCCGTCTCCAAGTTGTCTACTGCGTCGCTTTTCGATGCCAGCTCGACTGTTGCACGGGCATACGCAGGCGAAATCGCCGAGCTTGTACAGCGGCTTCGGCTTTGCGGCATACAAGTCGACGAGACGCAGGGCCACGGCTTGCCCCCCGACGCCCAGATGCACGACCGCGCGGCCACCGTTCCCGCCGTCGTCGTGTCGCCAAGAGGCGAATGGGGCATCGTGCAGACCTTGACGGCCATGAAGGACCTGGACCTCTACGCCAAGATGCCCGTCTCGGTCAAGAGCGGCGGCCACGGCTACTTCAACGGGGCGACGTGCCCCGGCATCATGGTGAACCTGGCACACATGGCGGACAGCCGCGTCGACGGCGACGTGCTCACGCTGGGGCCGGGCTGCGTGCTGGGCCAAACCATTGCCACCCTCGCCAGGCACGGCAAGGCCGTCCCGCACGGCGACTGCTACGGCGTCGGGGCCGGCGGCCACTTCACCACGGCGGGCTGGGACCTCGTCCTGACGCGCCGCCACGGCATGGGCTGCCAGTCCGTCGTGGGCGGGCGCGTGGTGCTCTGGGACGGCACCGTGCTGGACGTCGACGACGAGCACCACCCGGAGCTGCTGTACGCGATGCGCGGCGGCGCCGCTGCCGGCGTCGGCGTCGTCTCCGAGATCCGGCTCCGCGTCATGGACGAGCCGGCCCGCGCAACGTGGCGCCTCACGCCGCTCACCAGGGACCAGCTGCGGCGGTGCGTGGCCAACCGCGCCTTCGCCCGCGCCGCCTCGCTCCCCGAGGACATCACCCTGTCCTTTCGCTTCTTCTTCGAGCCGCACGACGAGAACCCCGTGTGCTCCCTCAACATCTTTAGCCTCCTGACCGTCTCGGAAACCATCGAGCACCTGCGCCGGCAGCTCGGCGCCGAGGTTGCGTCGCTGGTCGACGACGCGGCTGCGTGGAGCGAGAAGCGGCTGCTGGACCTCCGGCTGCTCCCGGCATCGCGCGCGCTGTCCGCCGACCCCGGCATGCTCTCGGAGCTCTCGTCCGCCCGGCTGCACGACAGCCCGCACGTCTTTTGGAACGGCGCCATGGTCCGCCGCGAAACGGGCAGCTCGTTCCTCGACACGTCCTCCCACTGGGTCGGGACCGACTGCGACGCCATGCTGCCCGAGATATACGCGCGGCTCGAGGCCGTCAAGCACCTGCCCATGCGGGACAGGATGTACCTCCTCGTGGTGCTCGGGGGAGGCGAGAGCCTGCGGCGGCGGCGCGACTGCGCCATGCCCCTGGGCCGTGCGCTGGCCAGGTTTGAGGTTCACTGGGACCACGAGCACGAGGCGGGCGAGTGTCGCGCTTTCGCGGCCACGGTTGCCGACGTGCTGCGTCACCACCAGGACGCGGGCGTTGACCGGCCGTTCAGGGGCGACATTTGGCGGCCGGATCAGGCATACAGCGAGGACGACGGCCTGCATGCCATCTCGAGGCGGTTTGATAGGCGCTGGGGGCGAGGGCCACGCCGTGTCAGGTTGTGATTGGCGTGTCGGGGGACAATGATGTTGACTTCCAACTCTCTTTGCGCTTGTAGCGGTATATGTGGAGGACCGCACAGAGGAATCTCCGAGGTCGCAAGAGCTCGTGATGCAATTATTACGTTATTTTACAAGAGAGCTAAATAGCTCAGTCATGATCAATGATAGGAAAGGAAAAGAGTCAACGAAAAGGTGCCAGCGAAGAAACAATGACATGGTGCCTCACACGTGACTCTGTAGGTGTTGATAATGCTCACATCATGGGGATAGAACCAGACGCTTCTCCTGCTGTCGCCTCAATCATGGCGTTTCCTAAGATGAAGGGGCTCGAGTTGAAACTTGTTTCTCTCACGACCTAAATTTATTTGCGTTATTCACGCTTGCTCCTTGACGGCGCCAACTACAGCGGTTGGCAACAATATTTAAACAACATCAATTGATACCATGTACCTGGCTATTACATTCGAGAGCACAAAGTCTTCAAGATCACGACGCCCAGACAGGCAAATGTAACCATCAGGCTCACAATCCCAAAGTTCACTTGATGTTAGCCCGGTACTTGTCGCATAGTTCGGTCTGACTTGCAGCCGTAATTCTCATTGTTTTACATAAAAGCCAGAATACATACAACATGTACTTGGCTTGGAAATGACGGAAAACCCAGCATCGTCCTATCAAAGGCGGTACTTTCTAAAAGTGAATGAATGCGTCATACTGAGACTTGGGCTGTTTCCCGTTTCCATATCTTTCGTTGCCCCCGATTCCGTTGTAGTCCTCGATTTGGAGCTGGTTACCATCCACAGCATGCACGAAGGCGACGTGTCCATACTGGCCCTTCCCAGAACAGGCAATGGCTCCAGGTGCAGGCGTGTCGTTGACGGTAAGACCTCCTTGGCGAGCGACACTTGCCCAGTTTTTCGCGTCGCCCCATTGCCCGTATTGGGTGAAGTTTGTTACACCCATCCGATTAACAGCACGGAACGCGGCAAAGCCGGTACATTGGCATGCTGTCAAGTCATTGCTGTCAATTTGACCACACTTGTCTTTGTCAGGGTAGTCGTCCTTCATCTCGCCGGGGTCTCGACCTCCCGTCTCGTCTGGAGGGCTAGGCTTGGCTGGATTGTCGCCGGGCTCGGTGCCGGGCAGAGTCGTGTTCTTGGGGACATCCGGGCCAACAGGAGTCGGACGTTTAGGTTTGCAGGAGCCGCCTTTGTGCGGTGCCTTGGCCCTGGGGTACGTCAGGGGAAGCCGGTTCTCCCCAACGGCCTGGACACCGGGCTGCTGCGGCAAGGCCATGGCAAAGCCTTGCAGCAAGACGAGCGCAGCAATGGAAGCGGTGAACTTCATGGTGACGAATTGAAAATGAGTGACAAGAAGAAGAAATGTTTGAAATGGCGTGGAAAGCAATGAGAATCTTATCGAGGCGCTCATCGTCTCGAGACGTAGCCACGGTATTTTATAACCATCTTGTCAACCCACAAAACCCATCCCGCTCGCCTTCCGAGCACATCAGCATGGTTTGCAACCTTGTTCGATAAGATCAACAGAAGCGCGCCAAAGACCACCCACATGTCCCCTCATAACAGGAGATTACTGTTTACCACTATTTGGTTCATGCGAGACCATCAGCAGATGTTTATAGAGTCAAGTTTCAGCTAAAACCAGCAGGAACCTGGTGTTCCTTGTCATCCCAAGTTGCCATCAGGGTCCCAACCCGCTGCAATCAGCCGGATACAAACCACGGCCGGGTATGCCAGCCAAGGCTTCCGAGGCGACAAAGTCTGGGGATTAATCCCTGTCGTTGTGTGCTCGTAAAGAAACCGTTTGCTCTCGGAGCAGGGATGAGAGGGATTTAGCCACGGCATTGTTAACTATATTCGGACCGTTGGATGGAGTAAGCAGCCACTCTTTATAGAACCGCATAAATGGTGTGAAACAGTCATATGGGGCGACTAGCAACACGAAGCAAGGAACAGTGGCTTCCAATCACATCGACTAGCAACCCGAAGCAAGGAGCAAAGGCTTCCAATCACATTGCACTTTAACGCGGCGCGCTCGGGAAATTCATATATTTAATAAGGAGAAAAACACGAGTCCCCGAGATTGCAATATCCGGCACAGTTCGCGGCAATTATGGCTGTGCCACGTGCATGATGAACCTGTGAGATTAATATAAACAAGAATATATTAAACGGAGATGACGGAATCCACCCATATCTCGGGCTGTGTCCGGAGCATTTGCTGTCACACGGAAATGCCGGTTACACGAGGGCTACCGTCACAAGACATTGGGTAAAGTCCCTCACCGACTTCTTGTATTTACAGACCCCTTTGGTCAACGAGGCCTTGAGGAAAACCAAGGGCCTTTGATACCAAAGACTGCTATTAGATGAATTGAGTCGTGTTGCTCCAAGCCATCAGCCCTTGTCACATTTGCCGGGTGCGTGTGTGCTCCTGGCAATAACAGTTTCACGCAAACCTGGCCAAGCCAGCCACAACATTGTCCGTCAATTTCATCAGTTGCCCTGGCAAGCTGGATATATACCGGCCAGGAACGCACGAGGGGCTGCGGCCGGAACAACGGCGGCGAATGGGAAGCAAATCCGCGTGTAAGCTGGCGGTAATCGTTGTCCATCGCTAAATGATCGTCCCTGGGATTACGGGGATCCAATCTGAAACACTGCTCAAGTGGCTAGTCCACTTAGTTGCCAGCGGGTAATCGGGATGAAACTCGCTGATCCAAAGAATCTCCGCCTTAGTCATTGTGTCGATCGTCGTTTTGACAGGGGGTGTATATGGCGACGGTAACCGACTGGGCAGAATGTGGTCTCGGGTTGTTTCGACCAGGAGCTGCCGACAAGGTATTTTACCAGCGTACCAAACACCATCGCTTGCTCAACTCCATGAGCCCGATTTAATCATCCACATCGCACGAGTGCCGGCGCAAGTGGCGTGCCGGTCGGGACCACGGGCTGGGATCTTGAAGATTCGAGATGCTACTCAAGATACATTGGCGTAGCCAAGGGTAAATGACTAGCAGTAACTTTTAAGTTGGACTTTTATATGTTTTAAAACATGAATTTGGTATACAATCATCGCCGAGACATGCCCGGGTCTCTGTAGGTGCCGGGCCCCAGAAAAGAGAGCCCCAAGATGTGAATACTTGACAAGGGCCGCCATTACTGGATCTGTTGACTCCATGACTCAGTGGTTGAAGCTGATAAACACGCTGACAGCAGGGTACTTGCTTGAGCACTCGTATTTACAATGAATTGCCCATCGTGAGAGCGCTATAAAAGAAAATTGGACTGCCAAGATGAAAACAAGTTGAACTGGTGTGACACTGTTCAGGACGATCTTCCAAGTGTTAAGAAACAACCATTCCTTGACTACTACAAGTGCGCTGGCATCATGGAAATTCAAAGACCACACAAACATGTAATGTGCTTCCAATGCCTTCCCCGCATATATTCGTGTTACATCTGATTGCCCACCCCTGTACTGACAGGCTCAATCCTTGAGCAAACTCCCAGAGCATTTCGTACACGGCCCACGCTCTGGGATCTGGCCGGATCCCCGACACAGCTGGCCCTCCACATGCGAGGTTTCATGAAACGCGTGGCTTTGGCCTGATCTCCAGTAGGCTATACGGAGGCTGCAAAATCGTGGACTGATATGCCTTTGCAAGTGGTATCAGCACGTGCGTGACAGTTCGGTCAACCCTCTCCCACCGGTGTATGTGTCTGAAGACTCTCGACGGCGGACGCCACAAAGCAGCAAAGGGCGGCAACTTGCTGCTCCAAGGAACTGACAGTTTCTGTTGTTATTCTAAATATTTGGCTGAGGGTCGAGTGGAATGCAGAAAGTAAGATGCCAAAGACGCCCCCAAGCGTGCCGCCATCTCGTCAACTGTCTCTGTCAGAATCTGCAGAAAGCCGAGTTTTCATCCGTTGGATGCTGCACCATTGCATGTTATACGCAGGACTGCTTCAAAGAACTCCTTGACTGCCTCGCCATATCCTTCATCGCCCATACTGGTATCCCATGTCAGGTAGGGCTCACCATGGCGGGCTCGCAAAGCAATCAAACATCCCTCTCCAGCAGCGCCTCATTTACTGAGAGTCTTTATCTGACAAAAATACAGTACCAGAAAACGTCATCTCTGCTACCCGGGCTTGGCTGTTATATTATCGGTTGACATTATCCCCGTGGACTGACTGGCTTCGGGGTGCTGTCCTTTGAACACGCCGTGTTTAGCCGCGAGACTGTCGTCGTTGGCCGTTCAAAGAGATCCAGCGACTTGGATGCAGGGATATCACACGGCCTGATATCGACAGACGAGTTAGCCAGGGAGATGTAGAATCTCAGGGCGTTGAGCGACGTTCGAACACGCCTTCCAATTGTGCGGGAAGGCTTCGAATCATATATTTGCGCCAGCTGGCTTTGAATCTTTTCTGTCACTGTGCCGAATTCAAGTGCTGATAGACCACCATTGTTATTGATGAGAAGGGTGACAGACAGAAACGGTATTTGCGTTGGCTGGTCCGGCTCGTTATGAATCCCTACGCCAATAACACAGATATCTTTGACGACTGGGTGAATCTGTCGCCAGGAACATGGTAGTGGTCTAGGGCCGAGTCAATGGACATTATCAACGCGTTGACGGCTCTACCGAGACGTATACTGTTGACACGGAAAAGGCCCAATACATCGTGAAGCCCAATAAAGGGACCTCACCACAAAAGACCTGTTAGTTATATAAATTAAACACGTGCCCGGGTAAGAGCCTTAAGTATAAGCGTTTATTTTATATATATATAGTAGTTAATATTCTCTCCTTTCCTCTTAGAAAACTAACGACCTTTGACACTCTTTGATATTATCTTTGAATTTGAACCTTTTCGGTCCAAGCCCTCTGACGAGTCCTTGTCACATATACAATCCTCTCAAGGCTACCGCGGCTGCCGCAGTGCACAGCATCTTTATTCCTGCGAATGAGGAAAAGCGTTTGTCAGTACTACCATGGTCGATGCAGATACAAATAAAGCGCCATTGCTCACAGAATACGCTCTACAAGTGCAAGACACTGGGGCCGTGGCGGTGGGAGTGGCAAGACACCAAGGCAGGGTTATTCTTCTGGAACAAAGACAAATGGTTATTGAAATTTCCACCAGGAAGCCAAGTCTTTGGTAACGCAGCTTTCTATCTTCACCGTCAATCACAGCCTCATCTCTTTGAGTGCGGTAAGATGCAGCGTTTTGTACCTACTCCATGTTCTCATTGGATATTATCCCCGTAGGAGCTTTTTGCCTGCACCTTGCCACACTCAAACGGATTTTGTGGCTGGATATATGGGCAAACTTCGCGGATACCAACAGCCAATGTTTCCTCAAGACTCCATGGAGATGTACAAAAAAAGTAACCTGGTTCCCGGCTGCAGACTGTGCAAACGGATACGCTGTTCACAGGTCTGATGTGCAGGGTTACATTGCGTTGATCGGGCCAAGCACGATAAGGATGGCAGTTCCGCCCAACTGACAAAAGCTTCTCCTTGGAGAGCGGCCGGGGAAACTTGCGGTAACAAACCGCATGCTTTGATAGCACAGATGTTTTCAATCTCGGCAAGGCACTGTGTGTAAACGTCGTCAACGCCTGTAGTGACTCAGTGTCCTTCGCTGTTTGCTCTGAATCTGGGTCGTTCCGCCAAGCAACAATTCGGTGCCCGAAATTGATACCCAGACGGAAGCGGCTGAGTCATGTTTTTTGAGTTGGCATGCCATGACTGTAGCAACTGTTTGTAAGTGAACACACAGCTGAAGATGAGAGAGACGTGCCCTCTGTGACGGGATATTATACAAATTTCCAGATGGACACTATCACACGGGTGTCACAACATCACGACACGGACCGACCTTTCGAACCTGGCGAGTGTTACATGAGACCTACCATCACGAGACCCCCGGGCAGAGGCTCATCGCTGCGTTATATAAATAGAGGCCCCTCTCCGACGCTCAAGACTGTTAGATGCTCTCAACAACGTCGTTGTAAGCCATTTTTTCAGTCTACAAACTATTGTCACAGATACACTGATCAAAAGCCAAGACTGAAAATGGCAATCCCTTACTCTAATGCCACCTGGGAAGTTGTGGATTCCATACCGCTCCTTCAGACAATCTTGACCAAACTACAGGGTTTGCCATCTAATCCCCCATCACTATTCGTGGACTTGGAGGGCATCAAGCTTGGACGATCCGGCTCTGTTTCTCTCTTATCAGTCCATGTGGCAACAACCGCAAAGACTTATATCATCGACATTTTCAAGTTGGGAGAAGAAGCGTTCACGGCCACATCAACAACAGGGACAAGTCTCAAAAACATATTGGAGTCTGAAAATACTCCCAAGGTGTTTTTCGACATTCAAAACGACTCCGATGCGCTATTCATCCATTATGGCATCAGAGTGGGCGGTATCAGAGACTTGCAAGTCATGGAGTTTGCAACACGCCGAGGTCCCCCTGCCAGGTTCATCACAGGCCTGGCAAACTGCATCAAATACGACTGCCCAATGACAGAGTCGCAAAAGCAAAGTTGGTTGCAGATGAAGGACCGGGCAGGGCGACTCTACGACCCGAACAAGGGCGGACGTTACGAGGTGTTCAACGAACGGCCGTTGCGAAGGGAGATATGCGAGTACTCGGCCCAGGATGTGGCTCTGCTTCCAAAATTATGGGAGGCCTACTCAACCAAGCTGAGCCATTCCAACAAGGCCTTTTGGCAAAGGATGGTTGATAATGCCACTCTGAAACGCATCAAGCAATCACAGAGCAAACACTATGATGGACAAGCGGAGTCCAAGAAATTCGGTCCTTGGACGGCTGAAGAGTTGGAAGAAGCTACCAAGTCCTGGAGAGAGGGTACTATGCAAGGGTGGCTGGAAAGGCGCCTAGAAGGATGAGACAATGGTAGCTCAACGGGAATTGCAGGATGTCTGTCGTGAGGATCAGCGTTTATCACTTGACCACCTTGTGATGCGGTCAGCAAACATGTTTGAATTTCAAGGTGAGACGCGTTATGCAAACTTGGCATTCAAAATGTGTATTGCGAGACGAGGGGTCCCATAGGGGCAGTTGTGTGTTCATCAAGACTTTTCGCTTGTTCAATGTCCGAGTTTACAAAATTTCCCTGGATCTGGCCATTCTAGTAGGGCTAGTGAATCAATCGTAGACCTCCCCCGATTTTTGATAGTAATATGCTCATGCCTTGCGCCTTTTGTTGCTACTGAAAGGGGGCATCAAAATGCCCGCGTCTCCCGTGGCTACCTTGACGGTACTATCCCCCTTTTTTGGTTCAAAAACATGAGCCCAGAGTTGGTTGACCCAGTGTGGATTTGCAGAAGACTTTGAACGAGACAGTTTATGGGCGTCTAATACAAACGGTCCTCAAGGTGTTCATGTCATATTAAGCTATGCCGCAACTTTAATAGCACAAAGTGTGCTACAGTAAAGAGAGACGGACTACGCCGGGAAATCATTCAATTGTAAGGGTAACTCGATAAGCTTATACAACCAGTCTATTATTTCTATACTTTTCGCCCTGCAAGATGCACGTAATATTGCCGAGGGATATCACGACGCGGGCTGTGCTTGGCTTCCCCCGTTTATCAGGCTACTAGGCAGCCCAATTATGTTCCTATTGAGTCAATGGCCCATTCCTGTGCTGGTAATGGCGTTGAGAGGGCGACTGCGTCTGGCGGATATCGCCCACAGCCCCGCGCCGTCCATCGGAAGTCGGCATTGCAGACCAGCTATTTGGGAAGACGACGATGCGCCACATGAACGGAATTTACCATCTGGACCCTTTGAAAAGTTGGGCGGAGACTACGAAGTGCTTGCTCTCAACATTCCAGTCCTGTTACCCTGGCAGGCACCCTGTCCGCCAAGCTCGCATCTTGGCCACACCCAAGGAGTTTGACTTTTCCAAAGCCCATGTGGCGGCGCCGTATAATATAAATATGCTTTGTGTTGCCCCGGAGAGTTTTCAGCCCCGAACTTGCCACAATCTATGTCCCTTGGTATACATCAGAACCGGCCCCCCGGGGCAAAACTCGCCAGGAGGTTGACGAAAGGCGTGGTACACGGGCGCAGGCGTGGAAATAGACATGTGCGGTCCATTCTAATGCAGGGCCATGTCGAGTTTTGGCCTCTTTTTGTCAGACAAGAAGTACATATACATACAACAAGTTGACCAGCGTAGGACAACGGCATACGCTACTACTCACTCTCCCTGAATACCTACCTCGTCTTCCCGAAAACAACACAGCATTACCTTTAGCCAGTATCGCACGCGCTTTTTCCATAACGCCACGATGAGAGCCACAGCCGCAATAGCCGCGGAAGCAATGCCTGCTATCGTGCCTGCGTCGAGAGTTGTTGGCGGAGGGGTCGGGGTGGTTGTTGGCGGAGGAGTAGTAGTGGTAGTTGTTGATGGAGAAGTGGTAGTTGTTGACGGTGTAGTGGAAGTTGTTGACGGAGGAGTAGTAGTTGTTGACGGTGTAGTGGTAGTTGTCTCTGGGGTAGTTGAAGCAGCCTGGCCAAAGCGGACAGTTAAAGGTGTGGAAGATGGACGGTAATCGGAGCAAAACCAGGCATAGTACCTCGGAGTCGCCGAAGTTGAGGGTTGAAACTCGTAAAATACACAATACGGCGATGCAGAGCTGCTGTGTAATCAAGGTGCAGACATGAGCCACAAGTGAACTATGTGCAGGCGGGCAGCTAAACATACCAAAAGAGAACTGATCCATATCGTGAACTACAAGTCTCGGCATCTAGACAGTCCTGCGCTCCCGAGGGGACACAATATCCCCACACAGCCGAGTTGCACCCAAGCCGTGAAGCGTACCAACCGGTTGTTGCGGTGTAGAAGGCGCAGGTACCCCCAGGACCGCACGTAAAAGCATCGCCTATTCGAGGCTAATTAGCAAAAGAATATCAACAGGACTGGTAGATTTTATACCAAGATTGCCATCAACGAAGCCGCAGGTGTCTACCTCTCTCTTGCGTATGTTGGGAGGAGTTATATATGGAGCTTTTGTAATACCTCCAGGGGCCTCGTGTTTATCGAGACAACTTGCTAGAACTGGGGCCCAAAACAATAATACAGCAAGTGTTGATAATTGCGCTTGCATGTTGAAGTAAAAAGGCAAAATTAGCAGGAATAGGCGCAAAGGATTCTGGTGAAACGCAAGCAGGACTCATCTCTTAATAAGAGCCAGGCTCGTGTTCCCGCGAATTCTGGGCAGTCTGGTGGCTAATCGCCTTCTCAACGCCTCTTGTCAGCCGTGGTGGACCTAAGCTTTATGCACATGATAGCAGTATTGACCGGTTACCAAATGCGAGATGCGCCTGGCCTCTATAATGATCAGAAAAATTGAAGGCTGAGCCAATCTGCCAACGGCTATGCCTAACGCCAAGTGGTCGAAGCCTGTTGGCACACCGGCTGAGACTTTTCATTGCATGCTGAGTCTGGAGAATCAGGCACTGGCGCATTTATACACGTCTTACGTGTCGGGCGGAGGATTCGTGGGAAATGATAAATAAAGACCTTGTTACTAAAATTCGTATCATAAGAACTCGTTCCATTCCTTGGTATTGTTAGATTTGGCATTTCTTGTAAAGTGCGAGGGGTCTTTCACCTAGTAGCCAGGCATTCAAGTGAGGCTGTAGATGTAGCCCTAACCCTAACCCTAACCATGTCTTCCAGACCCTCCATGACGAGCGACAAGTCACCATTCAGATTAGATCAATGCCAGATGCTTGGCCAGGGATTGGGCCAGGTCAATGTCGACCCCACACCCAGGCACTGGCGACTAAAGTACCAAGGTACAAAGTGATGACAGCCCTCGCCACACTAGCCGCACGCTAATGGCTGCCTCACAGGAGGTACCAGATACTTAGGTCACAGCCGACCTCAACACGGGAGGGTCAATTGGCACTCCGTCATGCTGCATCGGACAAACACGCTGACCGCGTCGCCAAATCTACCACTCGACCCCAACGTGGTCACCATCGCCACCGGTGTCGTCTTCCCTTGCGCACTCGAAGCTGATGGTTTCATTCCACCGGTTGCCTACGTCCACTTGCGCGCGCAAAAGATAATCGCACAACTGCACTGGCTTCCACGCCTCTCTCCCCTCGCTGCCATGGCGCGGAGCGTCAAACGTCCACGGCCTGAGCCGCACGCTTTTCACCAGCTCGGAAAGCAGGGTCGGTACGTTGCATCCTGACGAAGCGCTCTGAAATTTCCCCTCGTGTTCCCTTGCACTAAAACCTCTTCAAAGGAAAACCGGTATTACGCTCCAAGATCGAGGCGAACGCGACGAACATGGCATGCAGCCCATCGATTCCATCTTTTCTCCCCACGAAGCGAAACCTGCCTCCAACGACGATGTGTCTGGCGATTCTGAAGGCGCAGACATGAGTATTGCGTCTAGTAAGTGTACCCACAAATACGACCGACGAGACAGAGTTGCAGTCGCTGACATTTGCCAAGGCAGTGGTCCAGGGCCTCAGACACTGCTCAAAAACCGACACAGCATCACATATCCCATTCCGAAAAGCAGGTCTCCCATCAAGACCAAGTTGAACTCTCCCGCCAAGAGGAATCCCCATTTGGAGTTCCCCTCGTCGCCCTCGCGCAGCACCCTATTAGACGACAACACGGTTACGCGGAAAATTGACTTTGCCGCCCATTCCAGCAAACCACGACTGTCGACTGGAAAGGACGTGGGAAACGGCTTGAAAACGTCGAGGCCGTCTCTCCTGCGTTCAGAAGACGATGAATCAAATCCACCTTCAGACCCTATACTGGGACACCAGAACGACCCGACAATGTCAGACATGGTGGAGCAATCCATGCAACTGGTGAATGCTATGCACAGCGACAACTTTACGGCAGCAGGATTTGATCAAGGGCCGGACGATTTGCCGCCTGCAGTAGGCAACGATGACTTTCCTGAAGAGGAGCCACGGCTACCATCTGCCAAGCCATCACCGGCGAACCCGTCGCCAATACAGCAACCCCAACGAAAGCCTCCGCCTCAACCTCAGCCTATACCATCGATTTTCGGGACGAGAAAACGGCCATCGCTAGAAATAGTTGCAGAGGAAGACGAGTCCGAGAAAGATGAAAGGGAAGACGAGGAGGAGGAAAGAAGGGAAAAGCGACAACGCACGAGTATGCCACCGCCGCCACTACCACCACCGCCGCCCCTATCAAGGCCAAAAACTGCAGCATCAAGAGGAACTACTGCACCATTAATTTCGAAACCCAAACCACCTATACCCAAAACAGAAGTCAAACCAGTCAAGCGTGGAAGAGGGCGGCCGAGGAAAACCGAGCGACGGACCAAACCAGCAGACGAAGACGATGAAGGCGACGAGACCATCATGGAAATACAACGCGCCCCGCCCATGCCAAGGTCTAGAGGGCTGGTGTCTGTCCGAAATGAAGCCTCCGACACCCAGACGCGGTCAGGACGACGGTCATTCCGACCCCTGGAGTATTGGCGAGGCGAGCGAGTCGTCCGCGGTGAAGAAGAGGAGGCACAGGACGCAGATGGCGTCGAAACGGGCGATTTTCTCTTGCCGTCCACGAAACAAGTCATACGCATACCTGAAGACGCCCCGCCGTCAAGACGCGCGCCCAGAAGCAAAACACGAACCAAGGCCAAGTCGGTCGCGGTGGGAGAAGCCGTGCAAGAAGACGAGGAGCTCGAGGATTGGGAGATGGATGAGGGCACAATATCAGGCGGCATTGTGCTCTGGGAGCCAGAGCACGAATTCAACCCACCAACCGAGGCCGACGAAGTCCAAATGGTAGAAGATCGACTCGCCATCTCCGCGGATGCCATTCAAACGCAGGACATCCCCCTGGCCACGTTTCGCTTCGCAAAAACCCTCACGCTGCCATTTATGGGCGCCGGCGTGGTCGACCTGCCCCCGGGCGCGGAGAAGCGGCTCAAGAACTCGCGCAAGATGCACATGGTGTTTTTTGTGCACTATGGAAAAGTGCTCGTGACCATTAACAAGGAGCAGTTTCGCATATCGGCCGGCGGAACGTGGTTCGTACCACGGGGTGAGTTGTGACTACTACTTGCACCATTTTTATTGTTGCACAGGTTCTGACCATTTCGTAGGCAATTACTACAGCATAACGAATGATTACGAAGTTCCCGCTCGCATCTTTTTCGCTCAGGCGTGCGAGGTAGCTCCCCCGCTGGAGGAGGAGTTACCTGAGGGGAGTTATGAGGAAGAGCAAAAGACATGACGAGCGTGTATATATCGTGGCTGTGTTTATGGCATACCATGGGCGTTGCGGGGGGTCAAATACCACGGATTGGCGTTGGGACTGGGATTCATACGCATTGATGAATATACTTGCTTTCTGGGTCAATGTACTAGGCTGTGATTTGTTTCAAGGTTTAATGGACTTGTGGGTTCGGCGTCATCGTGGCTATCCACTGATTTGAATGCGAGATGTGTGCAGTGCTGTCGCTGGCAGGAATATACCCACCTATTTTTAAGTATATTCTAATATACTACGGTATATTACAGTATACTACTATATATTATAATATATAATAATATATTATAATATCTTAATATATACTTAAATATGTTATTAAATTATATAAAAAAATTATTTAAATAGTAAATACTTAGGTAGTAAAAAATAAGTACACCTAGTAAAAAGGTAAGCCCGCCGAGCAATTTTCGTCGTTGATGTCCAGTTCATCAACAGTCACGTGCTACATCTAATCGGAAATCGTGCCGTCTGCGAACCTGATGACCTCATTGGCGGTGGAGCTTGCCCAGCTTCCTGTCAGCTCCTGACGGAGCCAAAGCGTCATCCGCGAACCCTGAACTTGGTAAATCCGTTAGTAAGTACTGTCTCCGTCAACGGTTACGATGCACATGGTTGGTGAGTACGATTAACCCGATCAACATCTCCGAGTGCGACGCTCACAGGGACAGCACCCCACTGTGCGTGATTTCGGTGCAATGATTCCCAGACGGAGCCTGGCCACGGTGACCAGGTATCCTGGCATCGTGCGATCAACGGTTTCACTCAGACAACCTCTCCTCGGCGCCGTTGCTTGGCGCAAAAGCGGTCATGTTTTCCCTCGCAGACTTGCAGACCGGGCTTGGGAGAGTACGGCTGCTCCTCCCACGCCCCCTGCGACCCCATTTCCGTCCTCGCCCGCCTCTGAGCCAGCTTCATCTTCATCGTCGTCATCTGCAAACAAGGAACAAGAGACGGGCCATTTCGATGTAAAGCCCAATGAGTCGCTGTTCTTTTTCGAGAGTAAGCATATTGTCTAATCACACGATTGCAGGCTGACTTTACTTGCATTAGACATCTTCCCTAGGAAGCTGAGCTCTCTTTTGCGATATCCCACGGAAACTGATGGCGACATGACGGCATTGCTGCGCCGCTTCTACAGCGCGTCTGGCAGCGGCGGCAGCCTGGACCCAATTGCTTTTGTAAAGAGGGCTATTCCTGAGGACATGCCTGTCAAGGTGACGGAGATTCTGCCACGCTTGAAAGACGGAGGTGCATTTGTCAAGGTCCAATATGACGCGAGCATCAGTCCATCAGAAATTGAATGTAAGATTCTTCCATGATACGGCACCCGAAACTTTTGCTCATCATTCCAATCTTAGCAACGCTTTTGGAAAAGCTGGAGCAGCATCCGTTGAAGCCATGGTTTAGCCCCTTTCGGGGAATCAAGGCCCGTCTCGTCAAAGGCACCCCGTGGCTCGAAGATTTGTATCGATTTCCTTCGAGTTTGGTCAAGGTCGAATTTGTACCTCCGGAGCCTGGCGCGGCGGCCGAGGAGCTGTCCGAGGAGAACCTGTATAGCATGTTTCGCCGCTATGGCAAGATTGCCGATATTCTTCCTCAGCCTTTTGATTCCAAGGTTGTGCCAAAATACGCCCAAATTGGCTTCCCCAGATTGAGCGATGCCATCATGGCCCGAAACTGTATGCATGGATTCGTCGTCACCGAGTCCATGGGCGGTGGCAAGACGGGAACCCTACTCCGACTGTCGTACGTCAAAAAGGTCAAGGCGCACAGCATATGGAACTGGCTGACAAGCCACCCGCGTATCGTTATCCCCATTCTTGCTGCCATACTGGCTGGTGCTTCAGTCATGATTTTCGACCCCATTCGTACCTTTTTCATCAAGCTCCATGTCTCACACTCGTTGAGGTTCACCGAATCGCGACTGTACAAATGGTTCAAGTCTCAAACAGACAGCCTTTCCTTCAAAAGCAGCAGGCACATGGACGGCTTGAATACGGTATGGAACCATCGACGCGATGTCATTGACCAGCTTCAAAATTGGCTCGATGGTAGCACTTTTATAGTCATTACGGGCCCCAGAGGATCGGGCAAAAGCGAAATGGTCATGGATCAAGCCTTAGCCGGGCGCAAGAATGTCCTCCTCGTGGACTGCAAGCCCATTGTGGATGCCAGCGGCGAGGCTGGTACCATCAAGCGACTGGCGGGAGCGGTTGGGTTTCGGCCCGTCTTTTCATGGGCAAACAGCATCAGCAGCTTGATCGACTTGGCTGTGCAGAGCACCACCGGCGTCAAGGCAGGCTTCTCCGAAACCTTGGACACCCAAGTCAGCAAAATCCTGCATACCACGACGGGCGCGCTCAAGCAGATTGGGCTGTCGTCCCGATCCAAGCACGACAAGGACGCGCAGTTGTCTGAAGACGCATATCTGGAAGCCCACCCCGAAAACAGACCAGTCATTGTCATTGACAACTATCTGCACAAGAATGAGGAGATAACGATTGTGTATGACAAGATTGCCGACTGGGCAGCCTCCCTTGTCCAGAACAACATTGCCCACGTCATCTTCCTCACCTCGGACTCTTCCTACTCCAAGCCGCTCTCGAGGGCAATGCCTGACCGCGTTTTCCGCACGCTGTCGCTGGGGGACCTGGAACACAAGGTGGCCAAGAACTTTGTCACCAGCAGACTTGCCGAAGACAATCCCGAGAGTGCAAAAGCATCTGTCGAGGACGGAAAAAAGACGGCCAAGCACATGGACCTCACAGGCTTGGACGAGTGCATTGAAACCCTCGGCGGCCGCCTGACAGACCTGGAATTCCTGTCAAGACGCATCAAAGCTGGCCAGACGCCACGCCAAGCCGTCGACGAAATTGTCGGCGAGACGGCCACCGACATTGTCAAGATCTTCCTCATGGGCAAGACGACCGAGTCGGACAAGAAGTGGTCCGCCGAACAGGCATGGCACCTGATCAAGTCGCTCGCCGATGCCCCGTCCCTGCGCTACCACCAAGTGCTCCTCTCACCGGCCTTTGCCTCGTCGACGTCGAGCAACGCCGCCGACGGCGAGGCCGCGCTCGAAGCGCTCGCCAGCGCAGAGCTCATCGCCCTCAAGTCGCACCAGGGCCGCCCCAAGCTCATCAGCGCCGGCAAACCCCTCCACCAAGCTGCCTTTTCCGTCCTCGTCGGAGACCGCGTCCTCAAGGCCAAGATGGACATGGCCATCATGAAGGAAATGGCCAAGACAGAAGCCAAGACCATTGACGCCGTGGAGACGGAGCTCTCCTTGCTGGGACAGCTGCCGAGACAAACGCTCGAGACGGCCGGCCGGGTGACGTACCTGCTAGAGAAGCTGGACGCCAGCCAGCGCAAGATAGACGACTTGGAGAAGCAGATGGTTGGACTGAAGAAGGTACTCGTGGAGGAGTACTAGTGTACCATTATATCCCCTTTGTTTTTTGGCAGCGCCAGACACCTCTTGCTATGGCGACGCTTACAAAAGCTCTGCTCATTCTATATCCACTGCCGCCTTTCTCTTGCGACGGCTCCCAATGTACTATTACGCGGTATACTGTAATACACCGTAGTATACTATAATATACCGTGGTATACTGTAATATACCGTGGTATACTATAATATATTATAGTATACTAGAATATACCGTAGTATATTATAATATACTGTAGTATATTATAATATATTGTAGTATACTGTAATATACCGTAGTATACTGTAATATATTATAGTATACTATAATATACCGTAGTATACTGTAATATACCGTGGTATACTGATCCCTGCTTTACTAGATTTTCTTCGTCTGCTTCCTGGCTGCTGCCTTGAACCCCGTCGGCCCGATCGCCCAACACACACAAGTCTCGAAACCGACCAAAGGTTCCCAACCATCTATTAACCACTACAAAATACATCTGTCTAGAAAGGTGTGCCTTGACATCTGTGTACTGCATGCCGTGTATACTCTCATATCTCAAGTCATGGGCGTCACGATGCGTGTACAGACGGTCTATTTTTCTCGTCTCTTATTGTTCTTGGCCCGGTATAGTCCAATACTGTGTTATCAGATTTTACGCTTGCACAATACACGTATCATGCCTGTTATTTCACTTGACTAATGTGCGATACAATTCAAACCTTGATATTTAGGTCATGGCTTGGTTTTTTCGTCTCAATGACCATGCTTTTCCTATTCATCACCTTCGTCGCTATTGATGTCCTCGTCGTGGGAACATTGCTCATCAAACGTGCAAATCTCTCACACAGCATGACGTCTTGTGGGAGTCGCCTGGTATATGTTCGCAGCGCCCGATGATAACAGGCTATGCAATTTTTTCGGGGCGAATACATAGCCTCGGCTATCTTTGCTCTTGTTAAGACGCTTGTTTGCCCATGTCAAAACGACATGCATGATTGACGTGTTGTGGCCTGCATCGCGAGGCTAGAAAAATGCAGTTCAAATCGCGTAGACAAAGCAATAAAGCAGCATCGCACACGGGCGCATCAAGGCTGAAACTATATGGGTGGCTGGTCTCGACGAAGTTGGCGTTTGGAAAGTCGACACTTGTGACTGAACTATCCTCGCCGTTATACGGAAAGCCACCAAGAAAAGGGAATGGTTTCGCTAGTGTGGCCTACGCAATATCAATACTTCTCCTACAGGGCGGTAAAGACGAGTCCTTTCATGCTGAAGCTACCATTAGACCACCAATATATCATGGCCACGTCTACGTCATTATATAGACTTGTCAATAAGCAGAGAAAATAATACACCATCGAATGTCCAACCTTATGCCTTCACAGCACTCATGATTCGTATCCCATATCTTTCCGTACGCCTTTCCTTCTCTCTTCCTCCATCCGCCTCCATTCGTCGTCACCAACGGTGGGTGCATCCACCGGCACATTAAACGCAGACCCGGGCGGCATCCTCTCCGTCCGCCTCTCCCACACGTCCTCACTGTTGGGCTTCCCGTCGCCGTACCTCCTGTACGCCTTGTTGCGGTAGTGCGTCCTGACCATGTTGGCTTTCAACTCCCCCGTATAAGACTTCGTGCGCATGCAGAACCAAAAGTCGTCCCAGTGTTCGCTGCAGGAGCGCATATTGCCGTAGCGGTAGACCGAGTTGAATTGGCCGCCGAGGCCGTTGCAGCTCCATGCGAGGTCGAAGGCTTGTCGGCAGCTCATGTCTGTGGGGAGGAGGGACTCGGAGAGGGCGTCGCCGACGGGGGCATCGGGTACGTCGCTGTCGGTGGATTTGGCCGACGCCTTCAGGGCCAGCCAGGATGTTATAGATGATGAAGAGGATTCGTTTTCTGATGAAGGGGTGGCTCGTTGGTTGGTTGAGGGCTGCTCGGGGTCGTGTTTGAAGAGGTCAAAGAACTTTTGGATCTCTGGGTCGACGGGTTCGTTTGGCGCGGCGGATTGCTCTGTTGGTGGTGTTGGGGCGGCTTTCTCCTCAGTAGGAGGTTTTGAAGATGACGACCAGAGCCAGCCCATTGTGTTTGATTTGTTGGTTGGGAGTCGTGGCGAGAGAATGATATGGTGTTTGAGGTAGACTCGAGAGCCTAGTAGATTGTATCGATGGATTGTCGACCAATGCGGTTCGGCGACGCTGGTCTGTGTTATGGTGAATTGTAATAGCGAGCTGGTCGCAGCGTCGTAATTCGGGCGAGGGGAAGCTTCCTTTGCAAAACGCCAAAAGCAGCGACGGCTAATATGCATGCGACCGTCCAATGATGTACGCTATGGTATTGGTTACATCCCTGTGGTGTTCAAATGTTTCTTTGCAACATTGAATGGATGGTCTGACGTGCGGGTTAACTGAATCGCCGGGGCCGGGAGGTTCAAAAAGCATCAATGACCCGACGCTCAGCATCGGGTTCGCAGCCCAAAACGCAGCCCTCCGATGCCGGCAGGTTGGGGGAATTGTCTCCATGACAGCAAAATGACTAGTATTTGAGATGCAAAAATTTTATGCTACGCAAGACTCGTCAAACTACACCCAGTAGCACATACAAAAATGACAGCACCCAAATCACCCACACCCGTCATCATCCGGCCGGCAAACTCCACAGATCTGCCCGCCATCAAAGCCTGCTTCCAAGAGTACACGGACTGGCTCGACGAAGACATTTCGTTCCAAAACTACTCGGAAGAATTTGCCAATCTCCCAGGCAAATATGCCCCTCCGACCGGGGGGCTCATCCTCGCCGTGGACGAGCCTTCAGGCGATGTTCTAGGATGCATTGCGTTTCGGCCACTCAACCTGGACGACGACTTTGTACAGTCACGGCAAGGAGGTGTTCGCAGCTGCGAACTGAAGCGTCTATATGTCTATCCGAAAGCGCGAGGGCGCCAAGTCGCTAGGAAACTGATTCAGCAAGCCATCAAGACCGCCGCGCAAATTGGCTACGACGAAATGTTTCTGGATACGCTGCCCAAGATGCAGCCAGCCATCGGGCTTTACAAGTCAGAAGGGTTTACTTTGACGCAGCCATATTACTATAGTCCGCTGGACGGGGTACTGTTCTTTTCAAGGCCCCTGGGGTCGGAAGACGCAGAACATGGACAAAACACGCCCTCATATCCCTGAAGGTGGTGCAAAAAAAATAAACACGTCGACTCGTTGGGCTTGTCTGCTGCGGTCGCTCCAAACCACGACGCCTCTAGGCCAGAGTCCCAGCTCGGTACATTACCGAAGTCCATTCTAGCCTGTGACAAAATACATTTGCCCATGAAGAAGGATACACTAATATGCTAGAGTATTATAGTATAGTGCGCGATACTCAGGTGCCATTTGGTTAAATATTTTTGTCATCCTATTTATTTTGGCCGAGGTGTGGTAGCACCACAGATATCGCGTTGGACTGGTTTGCCAAGTCCGTTACCTCTCAGACGGCAGGATACTTTGCAAACGGGCTTGCAAACTCCAAGCCCTCAAAGGCTACTTTGCCTCCCGAGCCCAACACGACTGCACTGAGCCGAAGATGAGTCAGGTCGTTGGACAGCGCGAATTTGAGCAAAAATAAGTAAACAAGTAGTTGTATAGAATCATTGCATATCACAGCAACACACGGCTCCCGTAGGAAGCAGCATGGCGTGTCCTTGGCGAAACTTTGGGCAGGTATTCGGCATCTTGGACTTCATTACCACTTGGCATACAAAGATGATAGTCACAGGGCACCCTAGGCTAGAAAGAAGTCAAATCTCTTGCAAATCACTAGTAGTATAATGACAGCTCAATTCTTCCATGGCATGCTACGATCATCGCCGTAGTTGGGCAGTAGGGTAGGCCACATGGCATCGCAATGTTTGAACCATCAATTTGCACCACCGTATCCAATGCTGACCAGAGAAAGAATTTCGGATGAAGCAAGCATAAGGCTGAGGTGGCTTGACAAAACAGGGGTGCTGGCCGCTTGAACGGCTGTCAGTCTGAACTGCGGAAGCGTCATGACGCGCGGTATGCCGCCTCGTCTGTACCGTAAGCCTCACTGATCATTCCACAATCCAGTCATGATGGACCCAAATGCAGTGGTACGCCATGTATGCAACCCCTTCCTGACTCCTGCAGCCAGAGCATTAGTCGGTTATTGTAAGACGGTTATGTGGATGAGGCAGGGCGAGAGGCTGGAGAGGCCGAGCGGTTGAGGCTGCCATCGGTCCATTCCGGGGCTGCATCATCCGAATTCCCTCTTTGGGATACTCATTCGAGATGCCAGAGGTCAGCCATTCGAAGACCCATCTATGGATGATATTTGGCACTGATGATTGGCCACAAAACCCCTGGTGCCCTGTGTCTCAACCCAGCCCTACAATGATGGCCGTTGGCAACGAAGTGGACAATTACTCTGTGCATGCGCAGCTCATGACGGACCCACGCAGCATGTTGCAACTTGGCTGCCGTATTCTTCGCTTTTCTTACGGCGTGAGGGCAGTGTCATGTGTGGGGATTGTGCGGCTTTGGAAACCCATTCGACCATTTTCCCAATTGGAAACATTGCCCGAGTGTTTCGGGAATGAACATGTACTGGCTTACGCTGTTACGCGTGGCGTTGAGGCCTCGGGGGCATGCGTCAGAATGGAATTTTTTTAATTTCGTGGTGATTGGTGTGGAGATGCAATTCTTGTTGAATACATATAAGATCCATCTCTATGCGTTTGAATGAATTAGAGTCTGAGTGTCCAGAATCCCAAATACCTCGTCATTTGTTCTCAGTGTCACTGGACGTGGAGCTGGGTTACAAGTGAGGGCTTCAAATATTCAACCAGGCAACATATACAACTATCACGCGGTACACTATAATATATCATAGGATATTAAGATATACTTAGAGATAGGTGAGTATATTGGGGTATACTTGAAGATAGGCAAGTATATTCTTGCCAATAACGCCAGACTCGTTCTTAATCCAAGGTAGGACCGCTACCATGGCGACATACATCTACAAACGCTACATCAGCCCTTCGAAAACCACACCGCCAAAGCCGTCACTCCCCAAATCATGCAGGCATCGTCACGGCAGCGAGCCAGACTCGCCCCCCTGCATGGAGTGCAAAGCAGAGAAGAGCAGAGCCACGAAATACAGATGGAAGATTATCCTGGGCTTGATTTCACCGTACGCCCTGCAAGCCCTCGACGCAACAATGTAAGACCCCCCTCCCATGAGAAACTCCTTGCGCCAGCGACTGACGTACCCCGTTATAAAGCATCGCCAGTGCCCTGCCCTGGATCGCAAGCGACTTCAACCAGCTGTCGCAGCAGAACTGGATCGTGTCCGCATTCACCCTCTCCTCGGCGGCGTTCATCCCCTGCTGGGCGCAGATGGCCGACGTCTTCGGCCGGTACGTCTCCCTCACGGCCGCCATTCTCATCATGATGGTTGGAAGCGCCTTGTGTACGGGCGCTCCCACCACCGCCTTCCCCATGCTGCTTCTCGGCCGCGGCTTTCAAGGCGTCGCCGCCTCGGGGCTCAACGTCGTGGTTCGAACAATCCTCGCCGACCGCGTAACCTTGAAGGAGAACGCCAAAAACTGGGCCATCTTTGCCATTGTGGGTGGCGTGTCGTATGGTATCGGCCCCGTCATTGGGGGCTATCTCTCTGGGTCCAATTGGCGATGGTGCTTTGGGATCAATCTGCCCGTTGGAGCCGTGGCACTTATTGCCGTCTTTTTCGTCCTCCGGAAGGAACTCCTCGGCCCGCAGCCTATTCCCGAGCTGGACGAGACTGTCGAGACTGGCCAGAGGTCCAAGTTTGCAGCTCGGCTAAAGACGGTGGATGTTGGTGGTCAGGTTCTGTTTGTCCTGGGGTTCGGTCTAATTGTCCTGGCGTTGACGTGGGGTGGTGCGACGTACTCTTGGAACTCGGCGCCTGTTCTGGTGTCGCTTGTTTTGGGCCTTGTATTTTCATTGGCCTTTTTCATCTGGGAAAGATTGCTATCGCCGAGAAGAATGCTCTCTATCAAGCTGCCCAAGCAAAGGGCCATGATTCCGTGGGCCATGTTGACGAATCGAGATGTTGGACTGATCTTTTACACGGAAATCGCCACTGGCATGGCCTTGTTTTCGGTAAGAAGACTTGTGCACGCAGGTTCGGAGAGGCCCCGACTAACGAGTCTAGGTTCTGTTCTTTTGCAATATCTACTTTATTGCGGTCTTGGTAAGCGACCTGGATAGTGGTAGCTGGGACGAAAAGAAAGGTACTAATGATAGGATCAGGGCTATTCTCCAGACAAGGCTGGATTGCAGCTGTTGTACTTTGTTCCTGGAATGGGAGTCGGTGTTTACCTGTGCTCCTTTGTTTGTAATAAGTGGCCTAGAATGACCTTTCCACCTCTCTTCTTTGGGACCCTCATAGAAGCTGTCGGCATCGGCATGCTAGCATGGACGTTGTACAATGAACATCTCCCCAGTATATTTGGGATGATGGCCTTGACGGGTGTTGGCATCGGGCTGCGATTCATGGTTGCGCCTCTTCATGGAATCGGCATCTTCAAGAAGCATCGCGCGGCGCTCATCGGGCTGATGGCTATCGCCACCCCGTTCGGAGGAACCATTGGCCTGACTATAATGTCGACAGTCTTCAACAATACTTCGGGCCTCGATTATAAGCATAGCGACTTTTCCAAGATTCAGGAACCGGGTGACCTTGGGGCTGCGCAGGCCGTCTACGACGCCAAGGTAAGAAAGCTTCCCTGTTATATGCCATGCCAAGAAAACAATGCGCTGGTGCTGAATATGGCTTGTAGATGGGGGTTGTGTGGGCATACGTTGCCATTGTTCCCTTCATGGTTGTGGTTAGTATGACTCTCTTCCCGTTTGTCATGACAATCTAACAAACGGGTTTAGTCCTTTATCTGCTGCTTCTTCCTCGGGAACGTAAAACTGGGAAACCAGTCAGCAGTCGATGACGATGAAGCCAATACAAACATAGTTTTTACAGAACCATACTTGTGGACTTTGATCAGAGGGAGGACCGCCCAAGCCGAAGAAGTGGCCATTCGTTTGGAGAGCTCACACAGTAAAGACGACCCAAAGGGAGGACCTGGAAGGGAGATGGTGTAATCGTTTCAATGTAATGGTCAAATAGTTGATAACAAAATCTACTTGAATACATTTTTTTCAAGACAGGGTAAGGTGCTTGTTGTTGATACTATCATAGCTAGGAAGGTTTGTACAAAAGGGTCAATCCAGCATGCCGGCTGCGATTAGCTTTCTCACATGGCCCCTTGACCAATTCGGGGACGTAACAGACACCGGCGGCGTGAACCGAGAGGCAGCTGATGTATCCTGTCGGAATATTGCTTCGGCAAGCCAGGCGATTAGATCGACCAGAGTCACTAGACGGAATTGACGAGATGCGCCGAGCTGAATGAGCCTGCCGGAAGGTCCGCAGCAGCTATCCAACCGAGGCCCGGATTGACTTGGAAGCCTCCTAAATTGAAGCTGCTGCAAAAGGCCAATGGAAAGAGGCGGCATTGACTGGCTGCGTGATAGTTTCCAGCGGGAGGCGAACAGTACTTGACCAGATCAGGTACCAGGCTACCGCGCTCTATCTTATTGAGGACATGCCGTTATAGTAGGGTGTCCTCGGTGGCCAAAAATATTTTGCGACGGACTGGAGCTGACAGAATTGGTCTGGCGGTTTGCAAAATGGAGGCTGCCCAAGCGCCCCACGGGTTCCACCTGTTGTCTCGTCAGGTTTTGAGCTCCCAGTCCAGATTGTGAACTTTGTTGGTCCACCGATATTGGGCAGTAAAGGTGTAGTTGGATGGATTGACTTTGGGCCGAGTCGCACCATCCGCCAGTTCCGTAGCAGGTCTTTGAAGCTTCCATCAAGTATCAGCACACCAGACTGCTTGGCTACCTTTGCCTAACATCGAGTATACATGACATTGCAGAATCTCAGATTGTCTAGTATCTGCTTTGGTACAGTGTTTTTTTGGCTCCTACCGCGTGCTCCTGAAGAGTACTGCACAGGCAATAGTGAAGCTGCCGGAATCTGCGGTCGACTGCAGTCAACATGGTCATGATCAGGCCATGCTGAGTTTTCGAGGCGTTTCTCTCGTGCGGGTTTTCGCCGTAGTGTTTCGCGATCGAGTCTCACTGAACATGACGGAACCTGGGGCCTGCGACCGAGGGGGCTGTTCACTTGCCAACGATTGGCGTGTGCACTGCAGGCTCTTTCAACCAGGCTGTGCCGTCGGCCTTGTTGGTGCTCACAAAAGCAGCGCGTTTGAGATTCTTTGTCGACTCCAAATTTGACCGCCACTTGATGTCATCCAAAGCTCCCTCCCGAAAATTCCATGAACTCGATGCGGGGCAGCGGCGAAGGTAAACGCAACTTTTTTCCCTCCTACACACCCGGTGACTCAATTACGTACCTTGTACATCCGTCTCTGCCAGCCCCGCCCGTTGTCAAGCTCAACACAATTTTTTTTTTTCTGTTTCCAGCACTGGAGCAGGCTAGAAAGCGCTAGACGCAACCAACACCTGCCCCTCCCCCCACTGTGGCCCGACGTGATTGGGCAGAAAGTGCACGATTGCCCGCGAAGGTGCTGCGGCATTCTGGCGCCCCCTGCAAGGTTCGAGTGGGCTCCCGCGAAAGCCTTGGAACAGAGTGGAAGCTCATCGAAGCATCCCACTTTGGTTTATTTATCTACCTCTCACATTTTGCTCTCACCTCTCTCATCCTCATTCTCATTCCATTCTTCATCTCCTCCATCCTCTCTACACCCTCTCTTCACTCTACCGTCTTTCTCAATCCAATCAAACTCACTGATTTGAATTGGGTCTTCAACACACACCAAGATACCCGACTTTTTCTCCCCCGCCACACTCGCATCACAACCACCACAATGAGCGGCAAGGTCACTGCTGTTGGTATCGATCTGGGCACCACGTACTCGTGCGTTGGTGTCTTCGACCAGGAGAAATGTGAAATCATCGCCAACGACCAGGGTAACCGAACGACCCCATCATACGTCGCCTTCAACGACACCGAGCGTTTGATCGGTGATGCCGCCAAGAACCAGGTCACCAAGAACCCTGAGAACACAGTCTTTGACGCCAAGCGATTGATTGGCCGAAAGTTTTCCGATGCCGATGTCCAGGCCGACATGAAGCACTTCCCCTTCAAGGTCATCGATAAGTCCGGCAAGCCCACTGTCGAGGTCCAATACATGGGCGAGACCAAGACCTTCACACCTGAGGAAATCTCATCCATGATTCTCATGAAGATGCGTGAGACCGCAGAGGCTTTTATTGGAGAGACTGTCAACAATGCCGTCATCACTGTCCCTGCCTACTTCAACGACTCTCAGCGTCAGGCTACCAAGGACGCTGGTCTCATCGCCGGCCTGAACGTCCTGCGAATCATCAACGAACCCACTGCCGCCGCCATTGCCTATGGCTTCGACAAGATTCGCCCTGAGGACAAGGACAGGGATGATATCCCCGAGCGCAATATCCTCATCTTCGATCTTGGTGGTGGTACTTTCGATGTTTCCCTCCTCGCCGTTGCCGGAGGTGTCTTTGAAGTCAAGTCCACTGCTGGTGACACTCACTTGGGTGGTGAGGACTTTGACAACCGACTGGTGAACCACTTTGTTAATGAGTTCAAACGCAAGCACAAGAAGGGTAAGAGCGCTCTTTTCTAACATATTTGAGCATTTTTGAGTACATTTGGATGTATTTGAAGGTGCTCGAGTATATCTCAGTATAGTCAAGATGAACATGAAGCTAACTTCGCAACAGATCTCACCACCAACTCACGTGCTCTGCGCCGTCTTCGAAGTGCCTGTGAGCGTGCCAAGCGCGCTCTGTCTTCGGCTTCTCAGACCTCTATCGAGATCGACTCTTTGATGGAGAACATCGACTTCTACACTTCCATCACCCGAGCTCGTTTCGAAGAGCTTTGCCAGGATCTCTTCCGTTCTACCATGCAGCCCCTCGACCGCGTCATCTCGGATGCCAAGATCGACAAGAACCAGGTTGACGAGATTGTCCTCGTCGGTGGCTCTACCCGTATCCCCCGTGTCCAGAAGCTCATCACTGAGTACTTCAATGGCAAGCAGCCCAGCAAGTCCATCAATCCCGACGAGGCTGTCGCCTACGGTGCTGCTGTCCAGGCTGCTATCCTGTCTGGTTACAACTCCCAGACCACCAGCAGCATTCTGCTGCTCGATGTCGCTCCTCTGTCTCTCGGTATTGAGACCGCTGGTGGCATGATGACCAAGCTTATCCCCCGTAACACCACCATTCCCACCAAGAAGTCCGAGGTCTTCTCTACGTTCTCCGACAACCAGCCTGGTGTGCTTATCCAGGTCTTTGAAGGTGAACGTCAGCGCACCAAGGACAACAACCTGCTCGGCAAGTTTGAGCTCACTGGTATTCCCCCCGCTCCCCGTGGTGTTCCCCAGATTGAGGTCACCTTTGATCTTGATGCCAATGGTATCATGAACGTCTCCGCTGTTGAGAAGGGCACCGGCAAGTCCAACAAGATTGTCATCACAAACGACAAGGGCCGCCTGTCCAAGGAAGAGATTGAGCGCATGCTGGCTGATGCCGAGAAGTACAAGGAAGCTGATGAGGCTGAGGGTCGCCGTGTCGGCGCCCGAAATGCCCTTGATCACTACGCTTCCAACCTGCGCACCACCCTTCAGGAGCCTGGCGTTGATGAGAAGCTTGACGCCGGCGATAAGGAGAAGCTCGCCGCCGCTGCCGACATTAGCTCTTGGCTTGACCAGAACGAACAGGCCAGCGCCGACGAGTATGAGGCCAAGCAGAAGGAGATTGAGGCCATTGCCAACCCCATCATGATGAAGTTCTACGGAGCTGGTGGCCAAGCTGGCGGCATGCCCGGCGGCATGCCTGGTGGTCCGGGCGGTCCTGGCGGCTTCCCTGGCGCTGGTGGCGCTGGTGGTGCTGGTGGCGATGACGGCCCTACCGTCGAGGAGGTCGACTAAATTCCTTGATACCCATGGCTTTCATCAGACTGGCCCAAAAATGTGGAGGATCTACGGGGTGTCTTGAGATGATTTTTAGAGTTTGCTTTAATTTTTTCGCTTTGCATTCGCGGTTATGAGCAAGGGATACAAAAACTGGGTTGATTACCTGGACTGTACTTTAATGAGTTAAATGAATAAAATGGCATAGACCTAGCTGAGTTCACAATTGCAATGTATGTGACTGACATGACTGAGTGATTCACCTTGCATGGTTCTATCTTGATTGTTTGTATGGAGAGTGGTACAAATAACATGATGCATACCTACAATGAGACGCAAGAGGACTTGAACCATGTCAAGTGCCTGGCTATCGCGATCAATGCCGTAATATATCATGGTATATTGGTGTATACTTTTTGGTGAGCAAATATATTCTGCCATAAATTGTATCTGAGCTTGCAATTGTCACGTACGTGGCTGCAGTGAAGGTTTTGTGAACGCGAACTCACACTGTGCTGACTTCCAGCCCAGCCTGGCTGTGAACGCGGAAACAAGGGAGCTCTCCGCCTAATTAGAAACAGAAAACTCGAAATTTTCATCATGGCCAAACTTTACGAAAAAAGCCCTGTGCCCCAAATCCAACGCTGCGCCACACACAACCCCTTTGCGCTGCGAGATTGACAGAGGCGATGAAACAAATGACAGCGCGGAAGTCTTTGAAATACGCTTTGTCAAGGAAAGGAAATTCCGGACTTTCCCCCCATTCATCATCTCGTTACCGTGTGGCAAACATCGGAATCCAGCAGGATGTTACACGGACAAGGCCCACCAGATCGTGAAGCCCAACAAACGGGCTTCACCGACAAACGACCTGTTGGTTACACAGATTGAACACGTGCCCGGGCAAGAGCCCGAGATATGGCCGTTCCTTTTTTATGTATATAGTGGTTACTTGTCTTTCCCCTCGTCTTGGAAAACCAAGGACCTTTGACACCCTTCATACGAAATCTAGGCCCTTTACTTTAGGCCCTTTACCAAGCCCTTGCCACACAGGAAGAGATACTATCAACTACTACCTGTGTAAGGCCACCCTCCAACCCACTCGAAAAACTCTGA